TCTTCCCGAGATAATGTTTCATGACGGGTTGGTGATATCTTCAGAGATATCGTCTTTCCGGGAAAAAATATTCTCGGGTTGGTGATATCTTGTATATATCGTCTTCCCGAGATAACTGGTCACGGGTTTACGATATATGTATATTTATATTTGCAGATACCAACTCAGTTAATTACTTAATTAAAAACAGATGACAGATGGCTACCTGCCGAGACACAAAAAATGATCTTATTAACTCATGGCTACAACGAAGCTCTGTAAATATAATTATTGTAAATAATAGTATTTTATCTGAATAAAAATCATAAACACAGCCTTTAAAAATTACACATGAACTTAACAAAAAATGAAAATATGAATCAGAAGTTAACTATTGAAAGAAGAAAAACCTGATATGTTGTACTGTTTTAAACTATAATAAAAGGGGAAGTCGATGACAAAGTTTAAAGGGAATATACATCATTTGCTTTTGCTGTAATTTTCAGAAATGGATGGAATTGGGGGGTTGGAAATATAAAGCAAATATAGTTACACTGACTTTTTGGAGGTTTTGGGTTCGAAAATGCTATAAAAACCAAGAAAAACGATCATTTTCCTGTAGTCTGGTCCCCTGACTCCATATAAGAAGAAACAGAGCAGTTTACATACATTGGGGAATTGTAAGGTCAGGGAACCAGTCTAGCTGGCTCGTACCCGTTCATAGGTTTGTAATCGATTGCAAACAAGTGCAATGGTCAATTGGGGCCAGTATTTGAAAAAAAAGCCAGTTGTTTCCAACGCTGATCGGCCGATCAGCGTTGGAAATTGATACAAAAATACCACTTTTCTTGAAAATGACAGTATACCAGGTGCCATAATTTTACAGGATGCTTTAGACTGTCATTTACCAACATCCTATTAAGGTATTTCGCAAAAACTTGGTAGTTTTATTTTTCGATGTTTGCAAATGTTGTATATTCCCTTTAAGGAAAATGTATAGCCAATTCAAATGTTAATCATGGCTGGGATCGAGTGTGGATAATAAATATTTGGAAGTTTTAAGGAGCTATAGCGTACTGCGAACTGAGCGGAAAGCGAGGAAGGGGAATGAAAATAATTATAAATTCTTTCCATCTTTAGAATCATTCAGGCCTAGTGCTTTGAGAATAATAATGCCAGTTGGAGAATAGAAAATAGTTTGATGGGTGCTATATTTTGAGAAACACGAGGTCCTTGATGGGTGCTACTATATTGAGAAAGACGACACCCTTGATGGGTGCTACATCGCCAACAATTCAACAGAATTATTATGTATTAAGTTGTAAAACCAGTAACATAATTATTGTGTATGAACACCCGTGATTGCTGCTACTTTTGCGAAAGACGACACCCTTGATGGGTGCTACTATTGAGAGAGACGACGCCCTTGATGGGTGCTACTATATTGAGAAGGCCGATACCCTTGATGGGTGCTACTATTGAGAACGACGACACCCTTGATGGGTGCTACTATTGAGAACGACGACACCCTTGATGGGTGCTATTATTGAGAAAGACGACACCCTTGATGGGTGCTACATCGCCAACAATTCAACAGAATTATTAATGTATTAAGTTGTAAAACCAGTAACATGTTGTGTGTTAACACCCTTGATGGGTGCTACTATTGAGAGAGACGACACCCTTGATGGGTGCTACTATTGAGAACGACGACACCCTTGATGGGTGCTACTATTGAGAGAGACGACGCCCTTGATGGGTGCTACATCGCCAACAATTCAACAGAATTATTATGTATAAAGTTATAAAACCAGTAACATATTGTGTGTTAACACCCTTGATGGGTGCTACTATTGAGAGAGACGACGCCCTTGATGGGTGCTACATCGCCAACAATTCAACAGAATTATTATGTATAAAGTTGTAAAACCAGTAACATATGTTGTTTTAACACCCTTGATGGGTGCTACTATTGAGAACGACGACACCCTTGATGGGTGATACTATTGAGAGAGACGACGCCCTTGATGGGTGCTACATCGCCAACAATTCAACATAATTATTATGTATAAAGTTGTAAAACCAGTAACATATTTTGTTTTAACACCCTTGATGGGTGCTACTATTGAGAACGACGACACCCTTGATGGGTGCTACTATTGAGAACGACGACACCCTTGATGGGTGCTACTATTGAGAAAGACGACACCCTTGATGGGTGATACTATTGAGAGAGACGACGCCCTTGATGGGTGCTACATCGCCAACAATTCAACAGAATTATTATGTATAAAGTTGTAAAACCAGTAACATATTTTGTTTTAACACCCTTGATGGGTGCTACTATTGAGAACGACGACACCCTTGATGGGTGCTACTATTGAGAAAGACGACACCCTTGATGGGTGATACTATTGAGAGAGATGACGCCCTTGATGGGTGCTACATCGCCACATTTCAACAGAATTATTATGTATAAAGTTGTAAAACCAGTAACATATTTTGCTTTAACACCCTTGATGGGTGCTACTATTGAGAGAGACGACACCCTTGATGGGTGCTACTATTGAGAGAGACGACACCCTTGATGGGTGCTACTATTGCGAAAGACCACACCCTTGATGGGTGCTTCATCGCCAACAATTCAACAGAATTATTATGTATAAAGTTGTAAAACCAGTAACATATTTTGTATAACACCCTTGATGGGTGCTACTATTGAGAACGACGACACCCTTGATGGGTGATACTATTGAGAAAGACGACACCCTTGATGGGTGATACTATTGAGAGAGACGACGCCCTTGATGGGTGCTACTATTGAGAAAGACGACACCCTTGATGGGTGCTACATCGCCAAGAACTCAACAGAATTATTAATGTATAAAGTTGTAAAACCATAAAGAAAAAGTATTGCCTTTAAAAATAATGGTGTAAAGTTGGTAATTATGCATTCCTTTTAAAGTTTGTCGAAATAAACCTGTAGGTTGTTGCATGTTGGGTAGTGTCTATTGGAATACCGCCATCGTACTTTTGAGAAACACGACACCCTTGATGGGTGCTACCTCAAGGAGGACGACACCCTTGATGGGTGCTACTGTTGAGAAAGACGACACCCTTGATGGGTGCTACTGTTGAGAAAGACCACACCCTTGATGGGTGCTACATCGCCAACAATTCAACAGAATTATTATGTATTAAGTTGTAAAACCAGTAACATATTTTGCTTAAACACCCTTGATGGGTGCTACTATTGAGAGATACGACATCCTTGATGGGTGCTACTATTGAGAGGGACGACACCCTTGATGGGTGCTACTATTGAGAAAGACCACACCCTTGATGGGTGCTACTATTGAGAAAGACCACACCCTTGATGGGTGCTTCATCGCCAACAATTCAACAGAATTATTATGTATTAAGTTGTAAAACCAGTAACATATTTTGCTTTAACACCCTTGATGGGTGCTACTATTGAGAGAGACGACACCCTTGATGGGTGCTACTATTGAGAAAGACGACATCCTTGATGGGTGCTACTATTGAGAGAGACGACACCCTTGATGGGTGTTACTATTGAGAAAGACCACACCCTTGATGGGTGCTTCATCGCCAACAATTCAACAGAATTATTATGTATTAAGTTGTAAAACCAGTAACATATTTTGCTTTAACACCCTTGATGGGTGCTACTATTGAGAGAGACGACACCCTTGATGGGTGCTACTATTGAGAGAGACGACGCCCTTGATGGGTGCTACTATTGAGAAAGACCACACCCTTGATGGGTGCTACTATTGAGAGAGACGACACCCTTGATAGGTGCTACTATTGCGAAAGACCACACCCTTGATGGGTGCTTCATCGCCAACAATTCAACAGAATTATTATGTATAAAGTTGTAAAACCAGTAACATATTTTGTATAACACCCTTGATGGGTGCTACTATTGAGAGAGACGACACCCTTGATGGGTGCTACTATTGAGAGAGACGACACCCTTGATGGGTGCTACTATTGAGAAAGACCACACCCTTGATGGGTGCTTCTACTGAGAAAGGCCACACCCTTGATGGGTGCTACTATTAAGAAACACGACACCCTTGATGGGTGACATCGCCAACAATTAATTCAACAGAATTATTCATGCATGTATAAAGGTTTAAAACCAGTAAGATATTGTGTTTTGTAAAGAAGACAAACATAATTCCAAGGAACCTCTCCGCATGATTCTCAAGACCCAATCTTACCAAGCATCAGGCGGGAAAGGAATAAAATTGCCGCCGCTTGGATGTGCAAAATAGATCGAAGATTTACGAAATGCGAACGTTGTCCGGTGTCAGTCATGCACGATTTCCGAAAATAATTATGTATTCGAATTGAGGAGCGCGCTCTCCATTGATTGAAATGAACTTTAAAAGAATGACATTTAAATTCGAAGGGTGAAATAAAATCAATGACGATTATAGTTGCCGAACCTTTCAATCGCAAAACAATATCTGAATGATAAATTGTATGAAATGACTGTCAATCATTTGTCCGATATGTGTAAGGAGAAAATATAACACAGATCTCGACCTACGCGGGCACGGATTAAAACACGAAATTAGGCGGTTGCACACTGCCAAATAAATTCTTGAAATCATCGGTCGTCGAAGTAGAAGAAACGGAAACAAAAGTTACCCTGAAAAAAAATCGAAACGGCAAACACAAAATTAATGTACGGTGTTAGCGATATCATCGATTTGGTGTTGCATCTCTTACATTCTTGAGTTGAAAAAAATAGTAAACGACCGGTTTGGAATACCAATTGTGAAATGTGAAAACGAAAAATTCGCTGTTAACGGAAATTAGTATTAAGATTGTAAAATGTCGGATTATCGGATACGGAAAAATCGAAATCAGCAGATATTATGAGTGCGCCCTCTTTTTGGAATTGAGTACGGAAAGCAAATGCGGTTGTGGACAGAGGCGAGATACAATATTGTAGGGGCATGTGCGCAAATCTGTCTTTGTATAGTTTGATAGAAATTTCCCTTTTTTTGTCACATCCGACCGATTTTCTGTGTGTGTAACCCATTCTTGTGGCAAAATCTAGGGACATGTGTGTGCTTTTAGTCGTTTTGTGGAAGTTTCTCTAATCAATAATTTAACTTTTTAAAATTCAACTAGTGTCTGTTCCCTGTACAGAATAACTAAGGCCATGGGTTGAAACGTTCCTTTCACTCGTGTAGAAACGTCTTCGAATGACACACCACTCTCCTTGCAATAGCCACCTGCACGTGAGATCACGGTTTAAAAATAAATTGTAAATATCTAGGATCATGGACACAAATCTCACTATTTACATTTAAATTTCCATAATGTATAATTCAGTAAGATCATGTTGTCAACTAATATAGGGTCATGACGTTTGCAAATATGATGTTGTGTAGAATATTCTCTGATCGTGCCATTGAACCGTTCGATTGTGAAGTAACACGAGTTTGAGTGCGAACAAAGTTCGTGTTTGATCTCAAGTGCGATTAAAATTACACGAGTTCGAGTTAGAAATATATGTGCGTTAAGCGAGAGGGTTGAGCGAGAGTTACACGGGTGCGAATTCGGTTTCGAACTCGAGTGCGAACGAAGTTACACGAGTTCGTGTTTGATTTCGAGTTCGGCAAAAATAAGACGAGTACGAGTGCGAAAAACGCTACAAGGGGTACGAATTCGCGTTCGAGTTTAAGTGCGAACCAAGTTCGCATTTGAGCTCGAGTGCGAACAATACGCGAGTTCGATTTCAGATTCGAGTACGCCGAAAAACGATATTGAGTTCGAGATGGAGTGCACGGGTACAAAATTGATATACGAGTACAAAACTACGAGTTCGAGTACAAAATGTGTACATGTATATGGGTAAGAGTATTTAAACGGTTTAACCACCACCAGCCAAGCTTGAAGTATTTGTTTAGGCAAGTATGGTGGGGTCATGTGTAGCAATAATTTTATTTCGCCGTTTTGCGTATTTCTTTTCCAAATTGCAACATTTGCACTTGAGTTGTTGTTTAATCTTCCACCTTCTGCATGACAATTGACGACTTGTTGACACTTGTTGCGATTTCCCTTTGTGACATTTTTTTAGGGCCATGTGTAAAAATCAAGCTTTGAAATTTTAGTCATATCTATATGTTTTCTCGTCTTTCTACGTTGATACTCCTTGTAAAAAATAAATCTAGGGCCATGTGTTTACAAAACCTTTCATCGCCGTTTCGAAGAAATTTCTGCGAATCCCATATTATGTCTTGTGTTTTCTTCTGTGATGTGACCGACTATGTTACAGGATTCTAGGGCCATGTAAACTAATCTTACTTCGTCTTAAATTCCTTTAATCGTATTAGGCCTATGCAAAATTATTGCAGGGTCGTGTGATGTACTTCCTTCGTTTTGTATAGAAACTTCTGTAATTGCCGGACATGTATTCCTTGCAAACTACTTGTCCCTTCTTTCCACCTTGAGTGAGTTTCATTGTGTAAAATTCTCTAGAACAATGTAATACGTTTCCATAGCTATTTTGAAGTTTAAGATCTAGATCTAAGTTTTCTTGTGTATGAATTCTGTGTATCCCTGACTTGTTAATTGGGATTCATTGAATGAAATACGCTAGGGACATGCACGTTTACAAATCTATCATATTTGCAGTAATTTCCTCAATTGCAACGCCATGCACCGCCCTCGTAACTATAACACCGAGAGTTATTCTTCATGATGTGCATGTAAAGGGCCATGTGTGCAGATCTTACAGAGTAGACTTGACGTAATGATTGTGTAACATGCAATCACAGAGATGGTGTATCCACAGTTATTTTGTGACATGAAATAGTCTTTGATCCTTAATATGTCATATTGACATAGTATAATGTTCTTATGTTAACTTCTATTAAAGATCGGTAATGCTGTTGTGTTAGGGCCATGGTGACAATGCTGTTAATAATCAGGTGATGACACCTATTACGTCGGATGCACAGTTGTAAAGTGTCGTCTGAGTCTATAAAGTAGTGAAACAAAATGGAATCGTTGAGACCTGTAAAAAAAGTGGAGGTTTTGATTGACACTAACGTTCCATTCCAATAAATCCGATCTATTAAATCCGATCAACAGGGATCGGTATATGCCTATAATTGTTGTGTTAGGGCCATGGTGACAATGTTGCTAATAATCAGGTGATCACTCTGTGAATCGTCATCTGCGTCTATACAGAGTACAACCAACTAGGTTCATTGATATTTTAAGACCTGCAAAACAAGTGGAGGTTTTGATTGACATTAACCGTTTCCATTCCAATAAATCCGATCTATTAAATCTGATCCACAGCAATCGGTAATATGCCTATAATTGTTGTGTTAGGGCCATGGTGACAATGATACTAAGCTTGATGACACCTGTTATATTGGATACGCCCCATAATCACTTTGTGAAGTGTCGTCTGAGTCTATACAGAGTAAAATAAAATGGATTCATTGATATATTTTAAGACCTGCAAAACAAGTGAGGTTTTTGATCGACATAACTTCTCAATTCCGATAAGTCCGATCAGCACACTCAGGTCGGCAATGTGAATATTGTTTCCCTCTGAACAGGTGCGCGCTGCTTTTGGCAAACTGGAACTTCGCGACCAGTATGCCCATTCATCTTGAGTAAGTCCTTACCTACGTGTTCCCTTTCTCTACGGTAGTACCCATTACTATGTGGTCAGGTAAGGGCCACTAGTAACGATGTGGTCAGGTAAGGGCCACTAATTACATTACCTTCACCGTCTGTATGTATGAGACTGCGCAGCCAGTTAGGCCTAGTAATCTTGGAAGGGAAGACTTAACTAAGTTTCCCTTTTTCTGTGGTACTACCTATTACAGTGGCCAGGTAAGGGCCACTAAATGAGTCTATACCTAGTTAGGCCTTGCAATTTCTTTTCTATGGTTGTATCTTTCATTAGTGGTCAGGTAAGGACCACATTTTCCCTTGTTTCGCCACAATACCGGTCACTAATTTGACCAAGAAATCACTGTATATTTACTGACCTAACCTAGCTCCGCTAGGTGGACATTTTCTTCTTCTTTTTTGTAAGTCCATTCTTAGCCACTTGCAGTTAGATATGGGGACATGGAAGCCCGACTGTTCCGGCCAGATGCGGAGGAACCGGAAGCAGGGAGGAGGAACAACGGATGACTGAGGACCCTGCTTGCCGGGCATCCCATTTCTGCTTTCTTGGGTATAAACATTAATGATATACTTTCCTTTCGAAAAACGTCTTAGGTTGTCTAAAGTGGTTCTACTTTAAAGTGGTTCTACTTTAAAGTGGTTCTACTAAAAGAAAACCATCAGGCGCATTAGTGTCACACACATTTTCCTTACACGTTTTCCTTCTAATCTTCTGACAGAAATGAGAGTCTACCAGATGAGATGTCATTCTGGACGAAGTCACAATCGATTCCGAATCTCAAGGAACCGGAAGCAGGGAGGAGGACCGACGGAAGAACTGATGACCTGCTTGCAGAGCAAGTCTTCACCACTTATTGAGGTAAATAGAAAAAGAGATTCAGTGTGTATTTTTTTTCTTTTTCAATTTTTGTCTTCATCTTCGGGCAGTGGCACGTCCATTTTTTTTATGATGTAGCCACTGTACGTGCATCAATCCGATAGGTGGTTTGTGCTTCGCTTGCAAACAATTTAATACATTCAACCTTATTTTTTTTATCTTTGCAGATTCCACTTGCTTCCTCTTGAGTGCAGTTATTCACTAGGGAGGAATCAACACGAAACGTAGCAACACTCAACTGTAAGTTTTACAATGGCTCCTCAAAGTTCCCATACGTTTTTCATTTTACTAATCCAAAAACTACTGAGCACCTCTCGCTCAAATAACAACTAATCAGTACAGAAATTCCTTAGCAATCCAGCCATACTCTTTGTTTGGCCGAAAACAGTGACAATGTGTACAAAATGATGCCGAAAAATGGTGCCCCCCAAAAGTTACACTTTTGTGCACTTGCAAGGTGAGTTTGAACCGCAACATGCACGTATACAAAAGTGCAACTGTTTTCGGTATCATTTTGTCATAAATTGCATTAATTTGTACGCATTGTTACCGTTTTGGGCCAAATAAAGAGTATGGCTGGATTGCTAATGAATTTCTGTACTGATTAGTCGTTAATTGAGCGAGAGGTGCTCAGTAGTTTTTGAGTTAGACAAAAAAGTATTGGAAGGGGGGACTTTCTTTTTTGGTTGAGTGTATAGTTGGCCAATACACCTTGACTCTTACCCAACACAAAACTAACAGGAACTACATGGACTGTGTCAGATTGATATGTCACTGCAACATACGATCTGGTGACTGGTGATTGACAATAGAATCAAATCAAAGCAAAGGCAGTCTGTACTAAAATGGGATTTTCCAATGTCAACTGCACCTTTTGAGTTTAACAAAAGGTGTATTATTGTACACCTTGCGGAACCGTGGGATTTTATTCGGTGGGACAATGGCGATGTAAGTACACATCTTGATAACAACATCCCATGACAGTGAGGTAAGGGTTTTTGGGGAATCACCCAGGAAATAGATGTTCTTAGCCAAACACTTCGTCATGAACTTCCCCATCTTCGCATTTTGTAATGGGCCGATCCAGTAAGCCCCTCCCACTGCGCACCTGGCAAATAAACACGTGCTCCTCTCCAATGCCACACTGCATTTTCCTTGCGCGCATCATACGCGCGTGCACGCATGTCGGACTTTTGTGCACGCACGTCGGACATAAATCACGGCTGTGGTTGGTCAGAACACAATGGGGCGGTGCTCACTGGATCGGTCCATTCAGCATAGCTTTATACATGTACTTCTTGCGGGATTTCCCTGGTTCACATCCAGACATTGTGCAATTGCAGTGGTCTGATAAACGCCCGAGCGGAAAGATTCAAGGCAGACGGAGCTTTGGTTTCAACCCACCAACATCCACCGTCGATCTTGAACACTCAGTGCCGAGTCGCCGAGGCTTTGATACCGTCCCAAGCAGTGTTCGAACGGTATAGTGCAAGAGGACCGCGTGCTGGTCATCACCGAAGCCTTTGAACTTCGCGTCAAGTGTTGCGGGTAGCCATGGTGCTCAAGATTGTCCTGTTCCTGCTGATAGCGGTGTGTATGGGTCCATCTGTCAAAGCATGGAGCTATAGCTCCATGGCCAAAGCCACAGCGCGTCCCGGCTTCCAAGCCAGGATCAGCCAGTCCGGGCTGAATTATCGTAAGTACAAGGTTGATTGACTTTCTTTACAAGGGTGTTTTATTATTTGAGCAAGGCAAGGCTTTTTTTGGCTGGAGTTGAAATGAGTGAATTCAGTGTTGCTAAAGTTCATGAACTGCGCCATCTGTGCAGGATTTTTGCACAGTTCAGTGATTCTCAAGGTTTCATCATGCGCTCATCAATGGGTGATGGTGTCACGAAAAAAATTGCATCCACACAGCATAGTGTAATTTATGAATTGATTTTCATTCTTTTCGACAGTGCGAGATGCTGGGCTAGCCATTCTGAAGGAAGAAATCAAACATCTGTCAATCCCCGATATCAGTGGCAAGGCTAATGTGCCTATTCTTGGCGGCATTGACTACACAATCTCAAAGTAAGAAAAACTACGGTATTTCTAAAAAAAAAAGAGTGTCCGTTTGACTATTCTTGAAATAACTACAAAACCATGAAGTAAAACTTGAAAAAAAAAATGTTTGAGCAGATACTGCTTAACCTTGGTTTAAATCCCTATGAATTTCATTTAATTTTCCTCACGCCTCATTGCACAATGATCAACTGATTACCACAACATTTTTGGACACTGTGACCAAGTTCCTTGCCTTGATCAATTTCAGTGCTGTGCTATGTATTAAAGTTGTGTGAAATCCTGCATGTTGTGAAAAAGGGGCTGATGTGGTTTGGGATTGGAATCATTTGCCCTTTAGCATTAAACTGAGGTCTTGCCATGACAATAGCCAGACAAATGATTCCAATCCCAACCGCAGCCCTTTTCACAACATGCAGGATTTTACACAGCCTACTTAACACAGTACTGAAATTGAATAAGGCAAAGAACTTGGTCATATGATCCAAAAATGTTAGTGTGATCAATTGATCTTTGTTTAGTGAGGCGTGATGAAAATTAAATGAAACTCATAGGGGTTTAGGCCAAGGATAAGTTTTATCTGCACAATTAAACAATTTTAAAATTGACTTCATGGTTTTTCAAAAATAACCAAACGGGCAATTTTTTTTGGGGGGGGGGGGAATGTATAAAATTCCCCCCCCCCCCTTCGAAAAAATGATGCCGTAAGGGTATATAGAACTACATGTATAAACTCCGTGGATAACTGTTATCAGCAGTCAATTGTAATAAACATTAGAAACACAATGTTCGTCACCCATGACTATCAATAGAGCTGTTCTTGTCAAATTTATTTGATAGTCACTCGTATTCATTTAGGAAAATATGATTTGGCACGCTCTCTTCCGTAAGCAAACAAAATCTCGGGTCATGCGTGTTTGTCTAGGCAAATGGATTTATTCTTTCGTTTCCTATTCCATAAATATTGAAAATGACTTCCTTGTGTGTCATTGTCCAAAATTAATGTAGGACTGGTATATCTCATTCTTGCTATTCAATATAATACAATTATGCATTCAACTGAAATAATTGAGATTTACACCAAGTATTGTCTACATTTTTAGTTCGAGAAAATAGCATCGTGGTTTTTTTTCTGGTCCCATCTGAAACCATCCGGCTGGCTGGCTGGCTGGCTGATTGATTGACTTATGATTGTATGGGGTATTGAAGGGGAACCGAGCAGTGCTATCCTATAGTCATTCTGAATCAGTTGAATTGAGTTTCGTGCACTCTGACTTAGACTGTTCCTGTACCAGCTTGAATGGGCTGGCCTATAATTTTTATTGTTGTTGAGTTTCATGCTCGGGTTTCACTACCACAAAGCAATTATTTTCCCCCTCTTTCCATGACTCTGTTGTCCAGCATGCGAATCACAAGCTTCGCCACCTCATCAGCCACACTCACCACCCAATCTGGAGTCGGACTCGTCCTGCGAGCCAGCGGGATCACAGTGCCTTCGACCGGAGACTGGCATTACAGAAACCACTGGATGTAAGACCTTGACACCGCCATCTTGGGTTTTAGAGAAGATATTATCTCCTGTAGATTCCAAATATCATAGTTATGATTTTAAATTGCCGCTGTTTGTTTAAATTTGTATTTTGTGTGCTTTGGGGGCGTTGGACCCGGAAAAACAAACACTCAAATTTAATCTCCATTTTCATTTGAAAAACCACCTATATTTAGGGGTCACGAATTTACCGAGAAGCAATTCGCGCAATTTATTTAGTACCAATAATTTTCTATTCTTGTGAATTGATCAACAAAACAAAACCGTGAAAGTTTATTCGACCTCGTAAAACTTACAGAAATGAAGTAATTTAAATGAGTTGATCACAATAATTCCACTATGTTATCTCTGCTATATAATAGCATTCCTATCAGAGATGGTGGTAGCTTTGATGCAAGCATGTCCGGCGCCTCTCTCGACCTGACGCTCAGAATTGGTAAGTCGAACTCGAAAATGTAATGAAATTCCGTAATTAAACGACCAAAGACCATTCATAATCAATATGGCGGCTCTATACAACAATATAGAGAAAAATGAAATTAGACTTCAAGACGGAATCTTTTAGATTTCGTTGTGATAAACTACATGGAGAGAGATAGCTGGATTCTTGCAAGGAATCCCATAGTGAGACAATATTAGTGTGATGGAGGAAATTTGATGAACACTTTACGACGCACAAAGCATGGGGTCCGAGGTTGTGAGAAACTTTTAAAGGTCATGCGACAACAAAGACATTTCCTTGTCAAACTCCAAATGTTACTTCTTGACATATTTGGATATTTTTAAGGCAAGGACCAGGCTGGACGCCCAACTGTCAGCTCGACCGGTTCCGATTGTTCCTTCGATGCGGGCAGGGTTCACGTCACGTTTCATGGAGGTGCCAGGTAGGCCTAAATAAAAAGGGGGAAACATGCATCTTCGTGATCAACAAAAGTGCAATAAGTAAGCCTTGTGGGTCATTGTAATGTTTGGTTAATGGAGAGGCAGAGCTGATACATGGCCAATTGATAAAAAAAATATTTAATTGTAATTTTCAATAATGGAATTCTAAACCAGAAAACAAGTCTTTCCAAAGTTCCTAAGAAACCAGTTGATAACTCATACATCGAGAAATGACTGAAGTTGAATAGAGACTGAAACCTTGATGAGACATACACCGCCTTTAGTGTGGCTTATGCTATATTCTGCAACGGAAAATGTAACTTCACTGATCACTTAAAGCTGCTTATTATTGTCCACAATTTCAGCTGGTTGTACAATATGTTTTCTGGAAGCATCAGCAACTCCATCAAAGGTGCGCTCAACGAACAGGTATGTTGATGACATAGTACAACTTACACTGATTTCAAAGGAGAGACTAAACCCCACTATTAGCTCCAACATCAAGAGGGGAATGGTGAATAATGAAAATAGAATTACAGCTGAATGTTCTCTGTAATGCAAACAAGAAAATCGATGGACAAATGACAAACTCGGCGCGAACGCGAATTAGTGATATCACTGCAAGTATTCGCACATCAAAATCTGACATTATTGCAATCTCAGAATTGTTATCAACTATGTTAAAGTTCAAATTCGCATTAACACTTAGGCGTATAACATACCCTCCTGTATACGCAGGGAATGTTTATTTTACTTTGTTGCGAAAGCCTTTGGAATTTAAGTGAGTCCTACTTTGCATTTCTGTATATAGGCCGTGACGTCACGAAATCGCGTTCATTTTCTCTTTCGAACAAAATATGAACCCGCCCTTAATAAGCACACGTTCCCTGACAAGATGATCAGCAGTATTAACCTATAGCTCAAAAATGATTGATTTTGACAGACATGTTCCATGATAACCCGCGAGGTCAATACGGATCTACAGAGGCAGTTTTCCAATCTGCAAAGTAAGTTCAACTCTCACGATCGAGGATATTCATTCTCTTTTTAAATTGACAAATCCAAAGCTATATTTATCTTCCGGTTGTTATATATAGAACCAGATGTTCCCTATACAAAAAAACCCTCATTATACGCCCCTCATCACAGTTATTGCTATCTCTACTGGCCTCTTGCATAAAACAACATTTTGGTGTCTCCACGTGTAGCTTTTTTGTTTCTCCATTTGTGGACCTTATATTTCATGGTAATGAAAACTCTAAGACAATTCGGACCAAACGAACAAGCCACCTTAAAGAAGCTCCCCCTATGAACAAGAGAGAATTAACTGTTCATTAAACAAAATAGAGATATCAACACTTCAAGCTGTGCTCTAGATGTCCATGATTCTCATGTATTCTACCCCTTCTTCCAGCCCAAGCCATCATCGACCAGTGGGCCGTGATTGACTACTCCTTCGTGACAACTCCCCAATTCTCCGGCCACGTCGACACCGCCCACAAGGTGACCATAGAAACTGCAATTATCCGTTCCAACAAAACAATTGATCAAAATATTATTAAGATGTGTGGAAAGGTCTCGGTATTTTCTGTTAAAAGCTGTGCTAAGTTTGAATCATTTTCCCCGTTGACTACCTCCTCTGACCTCTGACGTCACGTTTTAGTGGTATTCATCCCATACATGCATATTATTGTTTTGCCCACTACTTTGACACTTGATTTGACTAATTATTATGACACGATGATGACACGATGATGACGTTATGAACATTTCTGCCAATAGGGAGAGGTGTTTCTGAGGGACTCGCCCCGTAAGGAGGCGCCGTACACAGTGCCCGTCATACCGTCGGATCCTGACGTTTCCCGGCACGTTTTTCTCTGGGTCACCGATTACCTGTTCCAGACAGCTGCCAACGTGTACTACGAGGCGGGCAGGTTTAGGTTCACCGTTACACAGGACAATGTAAATTGACTGCAAAGATATTTTTATCTCATTTTGGCTGCCTTAAAAAAATAAAAAGATATGTATTAAAACATTTACCTAGTGCTGTTAACCAATTTCTTTCTAACTAAGGACGCTTATTCCTTTTTCATTTATAGTAAAAGTACTTGATGAAATTTAATCATTGAAAACTTAAATTAATTAATTCAATTAAAAGACATTTTTAGAAGGACATTTTTTTTTAGAAATCACTAACTGTAGACTGAAAAATTATTACTTCGCGAGTAAAAACTCGATCCATTCAATAACCTGTTTGGAATAAATTTCACTTAAATTATCTTTTCCTTAAAATTTCAATTTTAGTAAATTCTTACTATTAATGGAGTGAATTTGCATTCTATGGCAAAAAGAGAGTAGTTTAACTGCAGAAAAAAAACCTACCGAGTTCCATTATTTACCGTTTTCTGACGTCTCGTTATCAAATTTTAGACAATGTTTTTAAAAGGTAAAGTCACATTGGATTTGCTTTTTTTTTATTTACAGCTGCCTCCTGGTAGATACAACCTAAATACTTCCTCGTTCCTTGTGAGTTCTACTTTGCCTGATGTAAGTAAAGTTACCTTGTAAAAGCCCACCAAAACCTGTCCAGATCGAAGGTTTGATTTTGCTGATCTAATCGATATAGTAGAGGAATGATGTTGCATTTTCGCTTCGACATAAATGCCTTGGTTTTGGTGCAGGCATCACCTTTCTTAAAGTCAAAATGTATGGTCATCATTTTCCCCCTGGATCTTCAAACATTGTTTAAATTGCATGTCGTGCTTATTGAGGTATAACGGACAGAGGGCACCTAAGTGGTTTGTATGTCGATGTGGTGAAACTTCGAGGTGGTGGTGAAATTCCGAGGAGGAAGGTCCCGCCCCCTTCGGCCACACCCCTTGTGCCCCACCCCTTTCGGCAACACCCTAACAGGCTGGTTGCTAAAATGATGTCTTTTAACAGAGTGCTTTCAGTCTGGAATAAGCTGCTGTGTATTCCAAACCTCGCCGACAGTCAAATATTTAGTTAAAACGATAAATCCAGCTTTTGTCATCCCATGATAATATCTCGGACATCATCCATCCATGTGTTCTTGCAGGTGTCCCAGAAGTATCCGAACATGCTGATGCAAGTAAACGCCAATGCGACAGCGCCGCCAGCGATTAACTTCGGCGAGGGCCAGGTCAACGTCTCCCTTAAGGTTGACTTGGATTTTTTCGTCACCTTGCCCAGCAAAAGTCTGAAGTATCTCTTCACCTTGAACTCGGTAGGCGATTTACAATTTGCACCAATAAAAAATGACACCTTCGAGCAAAGAAACTCCCCCTCCCCCGCCTTTGCAAGTGCGGTTCCAGAACACAATTTGGGGGACCAACAAAAATGATGGTCACCCAAAAAGAGGGTCCAAAAATTCCGGCGTGGGGTTCGGGGCCCGCTCAAGGGCCCCGAAGAATGTTTGGATTCTACGAACTGAGGCAATTTCTGACCACTTTAACCAAGTTTTTGAGGAAAAGATGGTGGTATAGGCAGTGACTGCCTTTATTGAGAGGTCACTTAAAAAATTAAAAAACAAAAACACCGAGTTCTTTTTGAGGGGGGGGGGGCATAGTCCCCGTTGGCCTTCCCCCCCCCCCCCGATCCGCCCTTGGGCCCCTCGCAGAAAAAAGAAATACACAAAAGGGAACCAACTAGCCTAAGGCCAAGTAAGCATTCTTTGCGAATGAAGCCTTGCTGTGCCATTCCACGCAAAGAAGCTGATAACCTTATACTCTTTATTGCTCACAGACCATCAGTGGATCGACCTTGCTGTCGAGTGATGGCAGAAGTATCAAATGGATGACCGACTCCTTGCGGTGAGTCTCGACAAGTTGGTCTGAAAAGGTGCACTATGGACGATTACTTTAAGACTTCAAAACTATAACCCCATCAGTTTGCGAGCCGGGATGTACATAAGACACGATAAAATGCACAGATACACATTTACTACTAAGAAATGTACTGGCAGTTTTGGGTGATGCTGAAATATAATGCAATAAATACTTTCACTTTCAACTGTCGGTAAAAATATTCTTAACTTAAAAAAGGCTTATTTTGTATGTCTTTTTAGGAGCTCCAAATAATACGTAGAAGTTAATAAATAACAAGTGAAAAAAGCCTCAAAATCTTAAAATAGGAAAAGATAGGGCCTATTTCAAATAGTTTCAAGAAATATGAAATAAAAAAATCTGTTTTGTTTCTGAAATTGTTTCTATTTGAGTGACTTTGAAATTATCGCCCATAGTGACAATGACAATGGGCACTAACATTGTTTTTTTTCTGCCACCATTTAGTATTGTGAGATTTGTCGTTATTGATCAAATAATATCGTGTGTTTTGTTTTTAGTGTTGCTGTTGCTTTGAAACGAACCGCCATCGGAAATATCAGGGTAAGAAGTTTACGAAAATTAGAAGAAAAAAAATCAGATACGGACGTATGGTCATAAGATCTACTCTATTACTGAATGCATTTTTGCTTCCACTTTTGACCAGCCATATTTTTTGTCTGCCCGTTGTCTTTGTAAATTTCTAGATGAAACCGATCAGTGAGGCAGTAAACGCCCTGACAAGTTTCTACCTCATTCCATGGATCAACGGTAAGTGACTTCGATTCACGATTATTTGTTTTCCTGTTTCGTTATAAACACGGACTTTTAATAGACTGTTAACATTTTAGTCATAACTCATTAAGGTTTATACCTCATGCGTTGCAGGTGTCTTAAAGAGTGTTCTTTCGTATTATGTTTTAGTTATACAATGAATGCACATAATGTTTACTTATCCAAGTGATAGAGAAAAAAACACTTGCCCTCTGGCGAAATATATGAAGGCACTCACCGTTTCCTGTAGTTTTTATTGATACAATTTTTTTTGAGGGGAGGGGTAACATTTTTTGTTTTCAATTTAGCTCAGGGGCGCAGAAAGCATTATTCTGAGGATCAAACATTCACGTGTGCAGAGCCACGGTCTAACGTCTGATATATCCTAACATGCAAATGTTATGCGACTCCGCGCGCCAGCCAATCGGAGTCGATTTTACAAACTGTGACGTCATTTTGATCAGAACTGTGGACTAAGCTGTTGATTGGTCAATAGATTTGTAAAACAACAACGGATACAGAAGGTGCCCACTAAATAGTCAGAATGTAGATGTCCAGACCAGTCTTGTTTTGCATAAGTCATTGCCAAATCTCCTCGAATGACATTTTAAAGAACCTTGCCCGTGCAAGGGGATATTCCATAGACTAAGGGAACATGTCCCCTCTACAGAATCATCATTTCAAACAAGATTCAGAGGCCATTTTTGTCCTTGTTTTTGTTTACATGGCCCTTTCGAATGATACTTCAGAAGGCCGTAGTGATGTTTTCAAAAACAAATTTCACAATTACATTTTTGCCTTTTTTGTCTTTAAACAGATGAAGGAAAGAAGGGTTTCCCTTTGCTTGACAGTCCTAACATCAAGTTGGAAAATACAGTCCTCAAGCAAAGAAAGGTATGATCACATGGTTTTGTTTTCTTTGTTTGTGTGTAATTCTGGGTTTTTTTTGTGGGGGTTTTATGAACCATATGCAACGGTGTCACGTGATCAAAGTCTTGAATTCAGACGATTTTTGGAGTCGGGTACAGTACAGCAAAGTTGTTTTTTAAATGCGAGATTTTGTTTTTTACATTTTCTTTTCTTTTCCCCCTCTTCCAGGGCTTCATCAAACTTGCTGCTGACATCAAATTCACCTCTTCAGCTTAACTGCTCTAGAGCGGGAAGATAGCACAGGGTCCATAAGATCAAATTAATTGGATAGAAACTCGTCTGAGTCTAATGGAAATGCGGCCCGTGCCATCTATATTACAGCCATTACAAATGGTTCATTTGGAAATGGAATATAATTCCAGTGTGATTAGAAACTATGAAACAGCGCATTTACGCAGATAGTTATATCAATTATTGGGTCTTTTTTGAGGTGGTTTTTGTATGTTTGTAAAACATTATCCAAAGCCTGTAAATTATTGCAGAATGACGTTTGAGAAACGTGCATGTAGATGAGAATTATTGTCCTTGTATCGTGTAATCGATGACGAACAATGTATATGGTTTTAACCAAAGCACAATAAACTTTTTTGTAAGAAGAGTGGCACTAAGTTATATACACAGTGAGCTATTTTAATGAAGAAGGCATCATACCACTATAATTGAAAACTAAATTTGACAACAATTTAATGTAATTTTGGTGTAATGGAATCCTTAAAATGCACCTTTGTGTCCCGTTTAATCTTATTTTCGTTTTGCCATTTTCAAGGGTATTTTGCGAATTTCCATATTCATAAGCAAACATGTGATGTAATTTAGGCAGAAACCTCAATGTTGCAGCTATGTCAACACCAAAGTTGCCATAAGTTTGGATATTTCCCTATAATAATCGTAAATGTTCTTTGGTGATATGTCGTTGTGTCAGTACATGGCAGTAAGGTAATGAGCAAACCTTTCTCATAAATATTTCCAATAAGCACATTTTTTGGTTCACAATTTGAACAGAAAACTCCTAAACCGAACAGTTTCTTCCCGAATGACATCACAGTAACAGCGCCCTCAGTTGTCCAGAAAAACATGCAGAAGTGCACTTTTTGATAGAATTAACCAAAGATGGATGTTAAATATTTCTCATACATTTAAGAGGAGTAGAAGGTTGCAGAAAATATGTTCCTAAGAAAAATTCACTTCACTATAACCTTAATAATTCTTGCTGTTGAACTCTTATGAACATAACATTATGTTATTTTAATGAATTGTAGTCCGAAATACAAAAACGGTGGCGTCCGGAAAGAAGGTTCGATTTGAAATAAATCATATGAAATTAATTTATTTACTTAAAATTACAGAAGCCTAGGCCTTCGTAAGCATGTGTCCATCATTATATTGTTTCGTTGCAAAATAATGAAAGAGCTTGGACATTTTCAGCAGATGAAACTTCTTTTTATTATTGTTTCCATATATAAATGTATTTCGCAATGACTTTGCTTCATTAGTGCACTGTATTAAACAAACTGTCAGTGATGGTAAATTTGCAAAAAACTGCTTTGAATTATCTTCACGTCGATTACTTTCTGAATCACATTTTTACAAATTAGGCAGGCGAAGCTGTGGTTTGTTAAGAATAAAGAGTACCGGTATCATTTGATTATTGTTTGCCGCATGGATTTTTGATTTTTATTCAATTGCACTTCCTTTTGCAAATTTCAGTAGTAGTCACTTGTAAACAAAACTGCTTTAATTTATTCGCACTTCTATACTTTTCTAACTGACTCTCTTTCCAGGGGGGGGGGGCCATGGCGCCCCCCCCCCCTAACGAAACCATTTTTTTTGTTTTGTTTTATGTGACATCGCAATAAAGGCAGGCAATGAGTACACCACCATCTTTTCCTCAAAAAAACATTGGTTAAAGTAGTCAGAAATTGCCTCAGATTGCACCACAGAGCATCTAGAATCCAAAAAAATTTCGGGGCCCTTAAGCGGGCCCCGAACCCCACGCCGTAATTTTTGTTGACCCACTTTTTGGGGGGGGGGACCAAAATTGTGTTCTGGATCCGCCCTCGACTCTCTTTCAAACTGGCAGAGCATTTGCTTTTGTTTAGAAAACGAAATATCTTTTTACAATGCGTGTAGGCCTATATATTTTTTATAAACGTTTCCACAGATTTCGCTTAGCCTTCTTTTGATTCTTTCTTGAATTTTCTAACACAAAGTTCAGTGCTGATCATTTTTGGTTAAAATAATTATATCATCCACACTTATAATTTTTTTCTAATAATCATTTTCCTATATTTACAACTTAATTTTCTATAAAGCTCCAGTGGCGTACCCAGCTTTTGATGTCGGGGGAGGCAACCACACTCGAACATCCGCGCCGAAATGTAGACGTTTTTTTTTTCTTCTCTGGACACTTGGCCTCCGTAAAATAAAAAAGGGGGGGGGGGGCTGGTACCCATCTTCCAAATGGGGGCGGGCGCTCTTCAAAACTTACCATTATACAAACTGGAAAATATATGCCGATTTTTACGGCACATTGTCGTGGTTTTGGAGCTTGGCTCTCTTTTCTTTTTTCATGTCAGAACTCTCTAACCATTTATGGAAATAGTTACTGAAAAAAATATCGTTAAAAAAAATCCGCCACTGTAAAGCACCACATTATAAACCAGGACGGGCATTTGTACAATACTGCCTTTGACAGCACGTGTTTTACGAAGCCACGCCCTCTGCCAGATCGCCGTTCTCTGTCACCTGACATCCTTCGCTGTGTCGATGCTGTCATGTCCTACTACAAAAAGATGCACACACGGTGCTTGACAGCTGAGAATTTATAGGGATGTTTGTTGAATTTCGTAAACTGGTTCGCTTGCAAATTTAATTGCAAAATCTAGAAAATATTTTTTTCTGTAATATCAAATTGTATTAATACCAAAATATTTCTGGCGTGTCTGAGTTGGATCCGAAGCCGGGGCAAAAGCGTGTCGTTTGCCAAGACAACTTACACACAGTTCCTTACTTGATTTTACCTGAAACTTGTAAAACTAATGCACTGAAACGTACTGTATAAGAAATAAACTGTTTTTAGAAATAGACTTTATTTATCGTGATGAAATTGAGAGCAAGTACGATTGTATTAAAAGTCCAAAAGACACAAGTGCTAAAAGCGCATATTTCAAAATTCTTTTAAAAACACTCAGAACTCTCACAGGTATTCAAGCTGCACAGAAAAATGATGATCCATGCGTCATCTTTCATTTTCCTTTCAATTTTTGGTGGGTTGACCATTGACTTTTCGAGAAATTCTCACCCAAAGAAGACGACCCCTATTTTCCCCAAAGCGGAAAAGTAGCCATCTTGAAAAACGACCCCTCCACAACATGGCTAAATAGCGCGATGGATTTAGGCCTATTCACCGGTGTGCACCCCGGCCCTCCGGGCCCCGAAGGAGCAACTGGTTCGTATACTAACTCCGGCCAATCTACTGCTGACCATGACCTCAGCGGACATTGGTACTACAAGCTTGCACGGTAAGCGAGCTGAGTTCGCGCTATACTAAGACTCCATGCACGAGTTATTTTCGGAAGTTTCAGAGAGTACCACTTTCGAAGTTCCGGGAGGAAAGTTGTCTGGCTGAACGTCCGTGTGGAATCATCGTGCGAAGTTTGAGGATTACTGCCAAGTTGGACGTTAATTCTTTTTGTCAAAATAGTATACGGTAAGTAGGATGGACGCCCTATATAATCGCGGTACAATGTACATGCACTTATCACGTTTCCCGCTCAATTCAATAGAGACTGCCCACTATGCTATAACCTCGACCTCCCAATTGTCCAGTCTTTTGTGTGGTGGTGTACAAGCACTCGACTTTTGTAAATTGATATAAAACAAATCCGACGGTGGTTATTCCGTGTACTATGAAAATAGACATGCTCGGTGCGCACGGAGGTGGACTATCGCGGTAGGCGGGATGTGGTTTATTCATGTTTGACCAAGACATCCCCGAGTAAAGTCTGATATTTTCCCTGTAACGTTCAAGTTGATTAAAAACTATGCCTGCAGGATGATTTCTTAAGACGCAAAACTCACCCGAAAGGAGAACAAAAATCACTCCTCCATGGTAACACCTCCATATGTTTCCCTCCTCCATGGTAACACGATTGAAATGGCAACAGCAAAATTTCAAACAAATTTATCTGGAAAATGCAAAAATCATTGGGCCTTGAAGAGCCTTGACTCAAATTGCAAGGCACTGATCACTCAAGGTCAAGGTCAAGGCCAAGGCTTTTGCCCTCAAGCCTCGAGGCCAAGGCCAAGGCCCTAAAGTCCAAGCATCAAGGCACTACATCACTGATGCGAACAATTCCCTAACATTTTGTTTGCATGTAAACAACCAGAGTGTTGTCCAGAAAAATGGCCACGAACTCTGTTGATCATGTACATACAGCGTGGCAAGGCGCAGATTTCGGACCCCGATATTTTTTCCCCAATTTTGTCCCCCTTAATAATAGGAAGGTTTCATTTGACTACACAATTAATATTGTGTGTTAACACGCCTGTCACATGTTTGTCGTTCGTCGTCGTTACATTTTTGAGAGTTTGATTATTCCAAAACAGATGGCCAACTGCGAGAAATCTCCCTCCCCAAAGGAGCAACAGGTACGGTTGATGATATGGACCACCCCTCGCACAACCTCCACTGCCCTGACCAAATGTCTGAGCTTCGTTAAAGACTCCAAAGTATTCTTCGAACCGTACTTAACTGCATACTTCATGGGACCTGATAAAAGTGTTTCCCCCAATGAGAGAGGGGACAGCTATCCAGCCTTGAAGGAGGAGTTCGTAGGATGGTTCGATGCTTCTCAGTGCACCTATAAGTGGGTGAAGGAGCAACTTGAAGGAACCCACGATGGCAAGAAGTTCATTCTCTGCAAGGACATGGCATACACTGTCTCAGATCGCTTTGCGTTCCTCCCTGAGAACTACCAGCATCTTGTCCTAATTCGCAATCCTTTGAAGGTCTTCCCATCTTGGAAGATACTGTTTCGGCAGATAAGACGCGTGTCGATGGATGAGTATGAGCTTGATAAACTGCCTCCAGGACTGTTCCCTGAAGGTCGGGGTTATAAAGAGATAAATGATTTGATCGAGTATCTTAAGGAGACCCGGAACCAAGAGGTGATCATCATCGATGCGGATGACCTTCTTCAAGACCCTAAGGGTATCCTCTCGGCTCTCTTCAAGGTCATCGGGATGCCTTTTGAGGAGAGGCTTCTGAGCTGGGAAGCGGGTGATGCCATCACTCGGGAATGGGTAGTCGCAAAGCATTGCCTAGAGGTAAACCAGGTCGGGCATATGTACAATACTGCCTTTGACAGCACGTGTTTTACGAAGCCACGCCCTCTACCAGATCGCCGTTCTCTGTCACCTGACATCCTTCGCTGTGTCGATGCTTCCATTCCTTACTACAACAAAATGCACGCACGGCGCTTGACAGCTGAAAAGTAGATTGTTTGGCTTTTTTTTTTAGGGTGGTGGGGGGGGGGGGGGGGGGGAGTCGTTTGCAACGGCGTAGCTACAAGGGGCCCCATAATATATTGTCCCCCACTGGAAATTTGGGAACCGGGAGAAGAGCACAGTCCTATAAGTTACGGTAACATGAATAGTGGGTTTTACATAGTGCCTTTTTTCATGTTTTCTGTTAATGATAACGACAGTTTTTTTTTTGTTTTTTTTTGCGATTGGCTGTTTATTTTAACGAACCAGGAAAAGCTAATAGCGCCACCTATTGTCTGATATTGACCATGATGTCAGTTTTGAAAAGTGAAAAGCGACCCCATTGGGAAGATGCCCCTCTTCACCCACCTCCCCGCTTTTTGTTTTCTATTTTATGGAGGCCAGGTGTCACCGGAGAAAAAAAATCTACCTTTCACTAAAGTTTCAGCACAGATGATATTGGGCGCACCCCCACTGTATTTCTTAAACTGACAGACTTATATTCACGGAACAAATAAACTCAACTGTCAAAAAAATGGGACCATGATGTTGTTTTCAGCTCCACGGAAGGAGGACCTTTATACTTCTACTGGACAACGTATATAATGATGTAATATTAATTTAAGTAGACAAATTATTATACTCATGTGAAGCATATATCATTTGAAGCATTTCATGTTTTATGACCTAATTTTTCATACATTATATGTCACTGACATCAAAAATATTTTACTTACTAAACAAAGCCTGTCGATAAAGATAATGAAATGTCTTTTTAGAATTATACGCAACTGAAACGTTTCTAAGCAATAAAATTATAATTTTTTTGGCAAGTAAAACATTTCTTGTTTTGTAGACGCATAATTGATTTGTTTTTCATAATTTATTCCGTAGTCTTCAAATACTGTTTGTACCTTCTTATGCGGGTCAACGTTGGTCATTTATTTTAAATAATCCGCACCTAGATGTTTGTGCAAATTATCTGTAGTGCTTCAGACCAATTTAGGTGACATTGTCTTCTCTCAAATATTGAAATATATTCAGGATTGTTTTCAGGTGTTTTTGGAATAAAACAAAATTCACATCAAAACACCAGACATCTTCCCAGCATGGATGTCGGTTATCTAACACAAAATAATGTCAGCTCTGGTCAATGTGGTAACGTGCATACTCTGCACTTAGATGTGTGGGTGTCACATCCCAGGGTTTGCCCACCCCATGAAATGGACCTTTGGTTATAGTCACCATCCAATAAACAGTACTGACACTCAGAGAAAACTAGGCCTTCACTCTTCTCTTTACAATATTTATATTTATTTACAGACTTATCATACACACGATTTATATTCCTTATTGAATTCAGATTAAGGGGCAACTTCCAGTATTTAGTACAATCACAAATATTAGTTACAGCATAGAACAGAGAAGTGTCCGAGTGTCTCTTGTTGTCTCGTGTCCAGCAAATGCGCTATGCCCGTAGCTTTCCCACTTGGCCAGCGGAGTCCACACGGTCCTCTGGTCCCGCCGCTGCGGTCCGGTCTCACTCCTCTGGTCACGGAGACGCAATCCCAAAACCAAGATTAAAAGCCCTGAAAACATAGCAATAACAAGGACGTGTTCTCTATATAGTTTGCCAATATGTTAATATTGTACAATAACTAATCAAGCAATATCAGATTTGTTCGCCAAAATATCCAAACATTTCTGCGTAACAAAATTATGTGTTTGGCCAAATTTCCTCAAACGCAACTAGCACCTTCGTAGGCCAACACTTGTCGTTTGTTTATGCAATATAAGCCTTATTGTATTTTATACAAAATTAATGCCAAGTTCTAGCCAATACATTTCACACTTAATACATTTCATACATCTTTCCAAAATCTCATAAAAATTAGTCTCCAGTTATTAAAGTGATATTATGTTTCCCACAAAATGAATAAATTAAGCAAAGTTTAATACAACAATAATTACATTTATAGTTTAACTTACAGGAATTGAAGGACTCCTGGCTTATACGCTGCTGAATTTTCTATACGCTGGTTCGTGAACTCTCATTAGTTCAGACTCAATGAGCTCTCATTAGCTCTGCCGCAGGCTGGCTATGCATTGCCCTATCTCCCTTGGCTTCTTAGTCTCAAAAATCACTTCGAGTCTGGCCACTGCCTTCTACTCGGAATTTCTCTTAGCAAGTCCTTTCCCTTACAGTTGCCCACGCTTGTATACCCAAAATAAAATTAGTCCTATGCATAAATTAACATGATAATTTTATTCTGTCCACTCAGGCTTCTCATTGCCTATTTAAAATTCACATGAGTATTACGTAAGCCCCATTGACCAATAACAAACTAGGTGTGGCTTAATTATTTAAACGTCACAGGCTCCATAAAACATATGTTGGCTAGCCTTGACTTTATTTTAATAAAACGAATTTACTCCTTATTGGTTGTAGAAACAAGTTTATTTTTATGTGGCCTGAATCTAGTACATTAGAGTTGTAGAAACAACATTTATTTTATGTGGCCTGAATCTAGTACATTGGAAGTTGGAATTTGGAATGTGTTTTATGTAGAGGGTAACACAATGTACTTTTATTGAGGCTCTCATACCCAACATTCCGGGGATAGGTGAGCTATCCCCGGAATGTTGGGTATGAGAGCCTCAATAAAAGTACATTGTGTTACCCTCTACATAAAACACATTCCAAATTCCAACTTCCAATGTACTAGATTCAGGCCACATAAAATAAATGTTGTTTCTACAACTCTAATGTACTAGATTCAGGCCACATAAAAATAAACTTGTTTCTACAACCAATAAAGAGTAAATTCGTTTTATTAAAATAAAGTCACTCTGTGACAGTGGGTCTTTTATCAATTTCCTATATATAAAAAACTGTCTTTAGCATTATACAGTCAACCAACTTTAATAGTAAATGCTTTCCTAATTATTGAAACATTTCCAATTTGTTAGCGATATTCAAGAGTACAACAATTGGGGCGACTCAGTGGTTAAAACTACTGACCCTTCAATGGATAGGTTTAGAATCCTAAGGTGGCGATTACATGTACATACTTACAAGAATGGTTTTATAATGAATGCCAGTAATGGATTTTGTTGACCAGTACGTTTCCGCCAGCAGTAAGGGTTTTGAGGGGTTTTGTGGGGTTTCTCTGGCCAACACTCTATTGTTTCAGAAGAGTTAAAACTCCTTTACTTGGGTGAGAATAAGCCTCTGTACTGGGAGAAATATTATCGCTCGGTAAAATCTGGACTTTTCCAGATCGGCTTAGCCTCGTGAAATGAAAAAGTCCAAACTTTACCTAGTGCGATAATATTCCTCCCATTTCACTCTGAGCCACTCAATATTGGTATACTGGTCTATTGATGGCAGTATTCCTCTTGGATCAATGTCGCATGATCACAGTGTCTGGCTGACCGTCGTCTCATCTGTGGAGGCAGAAAATACAAAGAAATTCATTTTTCATCCCCGCTCACCAATGTTTTTATGGTGTGTTGTGAATTGAACAGCTTGGGATGCAAGAACACGAAGTTGGCTCATAATTAGCCTTTATCAGGCGTGCGTGTCTACTGTCTACCTGACGCGTGGCTAGTCTTTTTTTTACGTGCCAGCATCCGGGTTGCGTCACGTGTCCGGGTAAAGCGCGTGGGACTTGACTAAAGGCTAGCTCATAATTCGACCGATAAACATTAACTGTGGTTGAAAATACGCAAGGAAAAAATAGCTTGGAAAGAAAAGTTTAACTTTGAAACATTTTCTCCTGAAGGGTAAGTCATTATCCTCAAAAGAGTGCACCAGTAGAAAAGAATAGTGCGGAATTTGGATCTTTGAAAGAGTGAAGTTGCAACCTTTTAGAGTGGTTTTCACTTTGGCCCATTACACTGTATAGTGTGGGGGGGGGGGGGGAACGCTCCAAAAGACGGACACCTAAATTCCTCTCTCGAGAGCTACACGTTGGTGTCCTGCGGACGACTGTGTACCTTTCATCTAAATCATCAACCCGCCATGGTGTCCAGTTTTATTTCCATTCATAAGTCCTCAATTTTACTTTGATTAACCTTCAAAAAGGAATTCGACTAAAGCACCGCTAATGACAAGTAGTGACGGCCAAAGATTTCCAATAGGCCATATTCCTGAGCGACAGAGGGCGCTATATAACAAACAAACAAACAAACCATTTTCATGGGTACTGGACGCCATTTTATATGTTACTTTATAAATAAACAAGATTACAACGGTCGATCTGTATTTGTAGATTGAAGTAAAGCAATTGAATTGCTTCAATCATATATGCTGCAATAAAGGTGATATGTTTCTACCGGTGAAAATTTGCTCAGCAAAATGTGGCCTCTTGAAACAACACATTAACGTGAGTCTGAAACAATTTTTGGGCTCTGTCTGCCTTTCTCTCAAAATAATGGTTGGAAAGATCGTTAAATGTAGACCTGTAAGGACTATGTTAAGTCGTAGCGTACTTACCCGTCGCACATAGATGACAACTGCAAGTGATGCAAGGCCCATGACTGACACCAACGAAACAACAATGATTATGATGTTTTGCGTAGAAAGCCCGGCTTCAAGTAGAAGGAGAAAAAAGGAAACATGATTAGTGAGGGATCCCTGAGGTTAAGCCCAGTGTGGTGTGATAACATTTGGTCCATATGAACGTCCAAGCACAATACAACAACATCTAAGTTGAAAAAAATTGAGCATTACTTATTAACAGCACAGTGTATGTGTGAGAGTGCGAGTTAATCATTAAAGGGAACTATCGTTCGAAATGTGGCCCTTTTGGGCTCTACCTTTCTCACAAAATAATGGTTTGAAAGATCGTTAAAAGTAGAAAATATATGTTCACACTACTTAAAAACTTTAACAGACCAATTAGAATACAGAGAAGGTCGTTGCCTGATGACCTCTTCCACGTGAATGAGGCTGATGTCTTTGGTCTATTCCAGTGGCATACTTACATCCGGGTACGTCTGGTGTTTCTTTGCATCTGGCTCCAACGTCATCTTGATGTGTACAAGAGAAACGTACCATAGACGTGTCGTACCCACAATATTCCAACCTCGACTCAGACCCGAAGCATACAACACTGTCAATCAAGATGGCGCCAGTTCCCACGTTGGTGTAAACTGAAATCAGAGAAGGAAAGGAGAATGTGTCATCGTAAAGATTTCAGCTCACCGTAAAAACAGCTCTTTTTTAATGCATATTTGCACTGAGCAAAGAAGGTAGGAATTAACATTCCTCTTGAAACAGGACAGATCTTAGGTCGACGTCGATTAAAACAACAAAAAGTTATAAGAAAGTCTCTGGACACTCGTCAAACGTCAATTCAAGTTTAACAAGGCGGGTTTTGTCCATCACTTACCCTTTCCAGAGGATAGGGCATTTCCATAACCCAGTTGTCTGCAAACGACATTAGCCGCGTTGTTATTCCAATCCGAATCAGTATCACAAACTGTGCCCCATCGACCGTTGAGATGTATCTCCACGCGCCCTTCGTACTGTGTAGCCCCATCTACAAGTCGCACGGATCCTTCTTCTGTATACGAGTAAAGGTAAAACAAACTAAAAGCTGAGTTTTGTCATTATAACGGCCGGGGTGATTGGGCAAGGGTACTTTAACCGTGTCTAGGCCCCTGAGTGTTCTTGTCGAATTTAATATACATTTGCTTTTGCTGTAATTTCCAGAAAGGGATGGTTTCGGGGTTATTATGTTATGACAAATGTTGATACACTAGTAAAGTGGCGCACCCATGATAAGGCTGGGGGCGCTCACAATTTTTTTTCAATCTTTTTTAGAAGTTAGATTTTTTCTCAAAAATGCTGCCGCAGATTTTTTTTTTTTGGGGGGGACGACTATTTTGACGTTAGTTGCGCCATTTGCCCCTATTATACTACTCGAAAATAAGCCACATACGCATCACCACGGTTAAACTGTGGGACTAAAAAAAAAAGGGGGATTCCTTGGGTGTGGCACTGGATACACTGACCTTCTCTGGGAAAAAAAGTGATGTTATTGTAGTCTGGTTCCCTGATCGACCCTACTTCAGACAAAACGGAGCAGTTTATAGATTGTCAGGTCAGGGAACCAGACTGAAAGCCTTGCACCTATTCACGTATGTAGGATTCAAACAACATGTTGACTAACTAAATTTGGTAAATTGAGGGCAGTATTTCCAAAAAAAAGTCGGGTTTTGACCATCGTTTGAAATCGATACAAATTTTTAAAAAAATCACTTTTCTTGAAAATGACAGCACACCATTTGGTGCCATGCTTTCACAGGATGTTTTAGACTATAATTAACTAACAACCGGTATTTCATAATAGTTTCATACTTTTGCTTTTTGATGTTTGCAAAAATATTTATGTACACTGCCTTTAACAAAAATAAATGCTTTCTAACTGACAATATGACTGCGCACTGTTGGCTGATGAAGATGCACCTCAGGAGGGGGGGGGGGGTTGACTAATAGACATACCTGCTGGTTTGTCCTCACCGCAGATGACCCCAGCATTGTCACTGGGAGTGCAGGTACTTGTATCATGTCCCTTATTGCAGTCTTCTAATCTGTCCTCCGCCCCCGAGCAATCCATCTTCGTCCAAAGTGTCTTCCCGCTGCCCCGGCCAAAATACGCCGATCCCGGGGCTGAGATGGCCTTAGAGAAGCCAAGCTGCCAACACACAACCGTAGCATCGTTGATGTCCCATTGGTCATCGCAGACTGTTTCCCAAAAACCGCCTAGGTACACTTCCACCCGGCCTTCCATAGCGCTGCTACCATTCACTACACGTACGTCATATAGCTCTAAAATATCAAAACACGTTGGAGATCGTCACTATCATCACTGAGATGTGCACAGTTAACATGGTAAGGGCATGGTCTCGAATTGTTGGCTGATATTTGACCGCCTCCCAACACGAAGCGGAGGAAGGTTCAGTCAAAATCAACCAACACCGAGGGACCATGCAGTATAATTTCACACTACTTACTTGAAATATATCATGCATTGCTTGTTTTTATTATACCTCGTCATCCGTCAATTATCAATGTTCGACAAAGTTCCGTTGGAAATCCCTCCCATGAATGCGTGTATATGCACTAATTCGCCTGTCGTGAGGGCTACAGTCTTGCAACTGACGGGCGGTTACAACCGTTACATATCTTGGTACTAATTCCTTACACTTCCAGGGGGTAGCTGTTGAAGCGCTGGAACATTGACCAATGAAAGAAGCGCTATTGGCTCATGTTTCAGGTGTGGAAATATCCCCTATCGGTCTCAACGCCCCATCCCTAATAAAACAAAATACATAATGCACCACGGACACTTCCACCAAATTGCGGAGCAATTTTTACCTAACGAAGTACACTTTGCACCAGAATCTTCAGCGTGGTTGCAGTTGTTAGTTGTCTCTGATGGGCAGTCACGTAAGTTGTTCTCTATGCCTGTACAGTTAACATTGTGAAGAACAATTTCCCCGCTGCCCTGACCAAAAAACGCCGATCCAGGGGCCGAGGATGCTTTGACGTAACCCAATTGCCGGCAAATCACCGAAGCATCGTTGATATCCCACCCATCATCGCAGATTGTGCCCCACACACCGTTCACGTACACCTCCACAGTACCCTGTGGAACGCTGTCATCAGGCACCAGATTGCTGAGAGAAACATCATATTCCTCTACAGAAATAAACGAGGAGACAGACAGACACTAAGTTCGGCGCCATCTTATATCGACTTTGCTCGGTTAAAAAAAACAAAATCGAGTAAATGAAAAGTCAATCACGAGTCAATCACAAGCAATTCCTAAGACTTGTGATAACTTGTGATTGACCTTTGATGACTTGTGGTTGATTTTGGATGACTTGTGACTGAATTAATTGCAACTAAGTTTTGAATGACTTGTGGCTGACTTAAGTAACGGGGTGAGTATTACGACATTAAATTTCCATATAGTTTTGCTTGCGATTCGACCTTTGATGACTGGTGATGGCAATGTGATTGACTTGTGATGGTGTGTGATTCACTTATGATGACTTGCGATTTGCTTGCAACTGACTGGTGATTGAATTGTGATGACTTGTGACCATGAGACTGTGATTCGACTTATGGTGGCTTGTGATTGACATGTGATGACTTGATATTGACTTGTGGTGCTGAGTTATGAGGGAGGACGTCTAAGGTTGAATTGGTTGCATACCAGTAGGATCGTTACTACAGACGACACTTGCGTCTTGCCAGTGTTTGCAGGTGGTGTTCCTCTGTTTTGGGCAGTACTGCAAGCTACTCTCCGTACCTTTGCAGGCAACCTTATCTAGAACAACATCCCCGCTGCCCTGACCGAAATATGCCGACCAGGGTGCTGCAGTAACACTCTGAAAGCCTAACTGCCGACACACCACTTCGCCATTATTCATCCCCCATTGATTATCACAGACCGTTCCCCAACTACCATTCACATAAACTTCCACGCGGCCTTCCATAGTGTTGCTTCCATCGATGAGTCTTATGTCATATTCGTCTGAGGAAAAAAAGACAAGAAGTTAAGATACATCAGAAATTACCTGTGGAGCCAAACGAAGTGACTGCAATTAAAAATGGTACTGAATGTGAAACAATCTGATACACTTACGAAAAAATCAGCTGGTTAATATCAAAACACTATTTGGCAGGCAAGGCATTATGTAAATATGTGTCCGATTAATGTACAATGGTGCGTGAATGTGAACCCTGATGAGGATCATATTGTTTGTGTTCTTGGGCAAGACACTTTACTTCACTTTCCTCTCTCTCCACCCAGGAGTACAAATGGGTGTGGGTGGAAACCAGATTGCGCTGATCTCGAGCTGCTGCTGCAGATAACTGGCATCATGGTCTGACAAACAAGGGATAACAATAAACTGAAGTGCTTCAGACTTTGACAGAAATGAAGCACCAGAGTTCCATCCCTCTAAGAAACCTGGATCGTACCTGGTTGACTGCAAACAACCCCAGCATCTCTATAGTGGAGACAGACAGGAGCGTCGCTTTCCTGGCCTTTGCAGAGACCCAACTGCTTTTCTGTCCCCTTGCAGTCAACATTGCCAAGAACTATGTCCCCGCTGCCCTGGCCAAAGAACGCCGATCCAGGGGCTGAGGTTGCCTTGCCGTAACCTAGCTGCCAACATGCCACGGTAGCATCTGTCATGTCCCATCCATCATCGCAGACTGTTCCCCAAGCATCGTTTAAATACATCTCCACCCGGCCCTCCATATGACTACTGCCGTTCCTCAACCGTAAGTCAAATTTCTCTAAAAGAAATTGAACAAAGTATAAAGCCAAGCAGTGTTATCAGCATGTGACTGATTAATTTAGCAATGTGCTAAGCACTAAGCTTTCTGCTATAAATTAGGCAGGTAAATGGATTTGGTCTTAATTAAGAAGTCCCTTTTTTACCTACCTGGGAGTGCACAGGTAACCCAAGCGGTAGTGGATTGGGTACAGCTGACGTTGGAGTTCCGTGGACATTCCAGTAAGCTACTCTCTAGCCCTGCACATGAGACGCCATCTAATGCTACATCTTCGTTGCCTTGACCAGCATATGCTGATACAGCCTTACCGTAGCCCAACTGCGAACAGACAACCGTAGCATCGTTGATATCCCAGCCACTTCCGCAGACTGTTCCCCAAGTCTCGTTTACGTACACCTCCACGCGCCCCTGAAGGTTATCGGTACCATTCACGAGACGAATCTGGCCTTCGAAATTTCGTATACCTATTAAAATGAGAAAAAGGAACATAATTTTGCATTTTTTTGGCGCATCCGTTTACAGCTTTTTCATGGAGATTCGGTTTTGTTCGAGGACGTGCAGAATGGTCTCTTACCAGGTTTGCCAGTACAGATAACGCCAGCATCCTCCGAGTGGCTGCAGTCTTTATTCATATCTAGCGGGCAGCCGTACAGATGTGTCTCCGTCCCTGTGCAGGCAACATCATCAAAAACAATGTCGCCGCTTCCTTGGCCAAAGTGAGCGTTAGACTCAGCTGCTGAGGCCATGCCGTATCCCAGTTGTTGGCATACCACTGTAGCGTCTTGGATGTCCCATCCATGGTCACAGATTGTCCCCCAAGATTCGTCTACATACACCTCCACCCTACCCGATACGCCAGTGCTACCATTAACGAGACGCAAGTCATATTGACCTGAGGAGGTAGTTGACAGAGAAGGAAATAATGATTTCGATTATGCAAACAGAACGCTTAATACTTTTACAGATGTATAACATCGATGGCTTTGCGAGTACGAGTATTCACGATAGTTCCGCTTGACCAAGTTAACTAAATTTGGAGGACTCTTTATTTTTTTCTGGTAGGATGAAAGAGTGGAACAAGTTCTGCAAAAGCTGTGGAAATGTAATTCAAAATTGTGCCAGTATAATGAAACATTTGTTCGGGAACTGATTAGCTCTTATTTTTTCTTTAATTTTTGTTTAAAATAAAATTGAAATTGTAATTAAAAACATATTATGTGAGGGGAATAGATCAACATACTCGGCAGTTTGGGTCCCTGGCAGACGACGCCAGCATCTTGGGAGTGATTGCAAGATGACACATTGTTGAACGTCACCGAGCAGCCAGACAAGTTGCTTTCTAACCCCGTACAGTCCACGTCCAATATCCGCCCTTTGCCCTCGCCAAAATACGCCCCACCTGGGGCTGACGCAGCCATGCCGAAGCCCAACTGTTGGCAGACTACGATTGCATCGTTCATATCCCAATCGTTACCGCAGACGGTTGCCCAAGAACCGTTCATGTACACCTCCACCCGGCCCCTAGTAATAAGGTGTCCTTGCACAAGACGTACATCATAGTCCTCTACAAGAAAATATTGAAACAAAGTTTAATGCATACCAAAACAAATTAATGCAATCCGCATGTGTTCCCTTGATATTAGTTTGACTGCGATTATAGGGTGAGTAAATAGTTATAATTTTTGAATCACTTTCGTGTTATAGTTGTATTTATTTGGGCTGATCAGGTACACTGTAGTTATTTTGGTATTTTAAAGTTAAATTGTGTACCTCATGAGGTCAATTTCCAGGCGTTTTATTGAACAATTTTATTTCTAAAATTTCTATTGTATTATGTTGCCCCTCGAGGACGAGCAGAGGTAGACAGGGATTTTTCCACCTGTAAAATTGAATGGAGTGGGGGGGGGGGGGGGTGGGGGTGGGGGGGGGGTGGCTGGGCACTATTTCCTATGGCGGCGCTGTTCAACCCGACAATCTGAGGCACTATAGGACAATAGGTGGCGCATTTTGTGGTCGTGAAAAAAGTGCACTAGCCTATCACCTAGATGGTATGCCACTGCAGGCTACCTAATGTTTTTCGGTCGCTTATCAGAAACCAAACATTGAATACCCATTTATATCTTTCACTTGACTCTGATACTTTTAGACCATAGTTTGCAATTTGCGTCAATGCATGACTGTATCAACATGCTATCTTTATAACAGAGATATTGAGATCTTGGTCCAAAGGCAAAATCTTTATATTTTCAGTTTTGGTTTTGTGTTTTCGTTTTGCTTCAAATCCTAATGAGAATCGCGTTGACGTCAACATATGTCACTGCGCAAATGCTGATTAGATTTTGCAGATTGAAATTCAGAAAAGAAAGGCAAAGAATATTTTCCTTGCGTAAGGTGGAAATACCAACGTTAAAGTTGACTTATAGATACCCTCCAGAGGCAAAAAAATTCCGCATTATGTTGTCCCAGTTTCTCAGATGAAATCACACCATATTGCTGCAGGGAGACAAGTTGTCCACCAGCAATTCTACTGTGCAAACCAGTAAATCGACTCCCTGATAATTATGCGCACTAACACAAATTATTTAAAAATACTCATAACTCTACACAAAGTGTTTGAGACACCCATCAAATTACAGTTTTTTCATCATCTTTCATTTTCTGTTCAAGGTTTGAGTGGTAATCCGATTACTTTTGAGAGAAACTTTTATCCAGAGATGATCACCCCTAACTAGTCCTGTGGCCCATCGCCATTTTGAAAAATGATGGCAACGCCCCATTGCAAAATAGAGCACGGAATCTTATGGCACCAATTCCGAATTTCACATAGAAATACATGCTCGCAATCCAGTGCACGGCCTCCACCCGGCCTATTTTTGACAATCCTTCAAGTTATCATGGCCCACAAAATGTCTAATAGCAAACAAAATTTAATTGCCAGTGAAGGCACGCGTAGGCAATTTTGGGCCTATTTACTTTTTGGTCTGCATCCTTAGCCATGATCTATGATATTTGAGCAGATGATGTTGCTGATTATGCAAGACAACCGCTTCTTGACCTATAGATTTTGACCAATAAATCGGCCCTTTCTATATTCCGCAGAATGTAGTTTCAGGTCACATCCTCTAAAACTTGTTTTTTCACACTGTCTTCTCTTTACTGGGGCCCCATGGGAGCCCAGTGGTTTCCACTGAAAGTGAAAGAGCTATACTCGGTTAAAAGTTAAAATAAGACTGAAATAAGAAAAATAACTACAGACTAGCCTGTGAATTGAACTGTTAGAAATCAATCATACTTACTAAGTCGGCCCCACGTTCCCACGATGAGCGTGATCAAAACGGCCATCAACATCAGTATCTTCATTTTTTTTCTCAAAATGCCGACCTCTACTTTATCTAGAAACGGCAGCAAAATCCCCTTCCACCCGAGTTCTTTAAGCTTTTCTCGTAGACTAAAAGTTTGTTGCGACAAATAAAGGACAATTTTCCATAGGTGGAGCTTTTGTCGTGATTGACCTTATGAAGCCTGATCGTGGCAAACAGACCAAAGTTCAAGTATTAACACAATGTCCATGACGCACACACGTCATTTATTTTTTTTAATTACACGTATTTTGTATTTTGGTCAGAATACCAAATCATTTTCCACCGGTATGGATCGATATTAATTGAAATATTAAAGGGGGGAAATGATTGCATGTACAACCAAATGACATGTTTTCAGTAGTTTAATCTTTAGGTTATTTAATCAGCAAATTTTGACGTGGCATTTGGCAAATCCTGCCAGTTATATTGGAAATGTTTAAATTAGTTACACTGATTTCCTTTATCCAAGGGTTTGGATCGCGTTCGGAGGCAGAGGGGTTGAAGGCGCCCCCTGCCGTTTTTGCCTTCACACACTCACCCCGATCGGTATGCTCAAATGCCCATGGGCGCGGCCTCCTGATCCTCTTGGTAAACTTCGGGAGCAGATCTGCCGCCGGAAAATGACGGCTGGATCGACTCGAAAACGTCTGTGCTCCGCGGAGAATCTTTGAAACCTTTATTTAGTGCATGCTTTTTTTTCTTTACACTGCATGCAGCTATATTATACTTCACTGACAGAAAATCTATTTCAGGCAGTAAACATCCCACAAATAATGTGGTCATATTGGATGCATATGTATTTTTAAGTAAAGAAAATATATGTACTGAGGGATATTTTCGATATTTTCCCAAAATACATGCACGATTCCGTATAATTGACAGCGTCGCGAAAGAAATCACACCTACGGTGTTCTGTTGGGGCCACCATACAAGTCCACCTTCAGACGATAGCGCCCTCTAGGTATCTGGGTTGACATGTGATTTTGTTGTTGTTTTACTTCCGTACCGTGCGTACAAAAAATATCAATAATCACATACCGTGCCGCTTAATAGATACAAAATTCATTGTTAGGACGTCCCGACCTTTGTATTAGTATCATCAGCATTACGACTACTTAATTTTGACTTTCGTCGGTCCTGAAGTGTCATTCATGTGTTGACCACCCCTTAAACAACGGTGGATTTGAGAAACATTTTGGCATGTTTGGCCGGTTATTTTATGCCAAGTCCTAGAAAAGGTTGGTGCTTATTTCCTTTGTTTACTTAGCTTTAGTTTTACTTTTACTTTAGCCCCATTCTGTAGCCAAGAACTAACAATTATGAATACATGCTCAACTTTTCGGAAAGATTCCCATATCTGGCCATCACTAAATTGTCCCTTCAGTGACCTATCGTCAGCCATCAGAAAGTGACAATATGTCATAAAAAGTCCAATTTAGCAGGGCAAATATTTAAGTAGGCCCTATTTACTGAGAAAACACTTAAAAATTTTCAGACCAGTCTCACTCTCATAGGGTTTGTGCACAGGGTGATAAGTGATGGCCAGATATGGGAATCTTTCCGTTAGTTTAATACGCCTCATTAACAACATGAACAACATTAATATTGATAATTAATAATCATAATATTATTATCTTGATGGACTTGGTACACACGGCTTATCTGCAAAATATCCCCCCAAAAAGGGGGGGGGGGGGATTTTGATGGAGTTGGGAAGGTTAGGGTTATGGAAAACTAAATATTTTTTCCATCAAAATTGTTCATTTTACACAAACACTGGTCACTGGATCAGATTTTCATGAAATTTAATAGTGTTGAAGCTGTGCATGCAAAAAAGTGTTTTGCAATATAGCATTGTGATGCTCCCACGCCCCTATAACTAGGTTTATATAAAGCATATTTCCAATTTCTGTTGTCTCAAATGTTTGGCTATTTCCTCCTCAGTGAAGTATATTTCTATGGATATATTCTTTTTGATACTTTCAGGTAGCCTGTGAAAGAATGGAAAGAGAAATAGATCACCAACGCATTGATGGTACTTCTGCAATGACAGATGTGGCAGTGGACGCATCGTCAGAAACACGTCCTCAAAAAACTGCAGCAGCCCTGGCAGCTCTGTCCATGTCAATGCCGTCGTCAGTTAACGATCCAGACGTCCAATCGTTACCCAGGGAAATTGTCGACGGCCAGCCGGAGGCCAGTACCTTGATGACATCTACCCCGAATTCCTCCTCCGCAGCACAGCGACCCAGGAATTTACCCGGTAGACTGGTTGCTGCGCCGGGTACCAGCGGCCAACACAGGAGCTCGGGTTACAGTGCCAGCAGTCTTGGCGTGGGTACGTGCGTGAATGTCGCTGTGGAGGATCCGGCCGGGGAAGAGATCACTCTCAGAGCACCGATTGTTGGCTATGAAGTCATGGAACAGAGAGCTAAATTCACGGTAGGTTGGATGCTGCGGAGCAGTTTGGTTGAAATGGGCGTGGGTTTTATGATTTGAATCAATATGAAATTCATGGAATGTGCACAGAAAATACTTTATTTTAAAGGACTAAGTACCGGAGGAATATACCATGTTTTCTAAAAAAAATCTTGGTTCTTTTTGCAAAAACATTTTAGACTGTTCTATCAGTTTATTTTCTGTTTTGACCAGTCAATCGAGCACTGGATGACAGATTGAAAATAATTTTTGTAAATTTTGAATTGGATGAATTCTTATTCTTTGAAGGTTTTCAAGATCCTTGTCCGAAAGTCAGAGCAGGACAGCTGGTTCTTATTCCGCAGGTATACAGATTTTGTGCGAGTCAACGCAAAGGTAAGACTCTTGTACTGTTTAAAGGCATGTGGGAACAAATGTTGGTATTTACCTGAAATGAAAAACACCTTGCAAAATAAAAAAAAAATAAAAAAATTGTACCTTGCTTGAAGTGACGAAAAGACTGGTATCGAATACCCTGTCACGTGGGTGGTCTGAAATGGCCGTTGAAACGCCGGCTAGCGATGTTTAAAACTGGTCTCAAGATGCTGCACTCGTGCCACATGTGCACAGTACGCGCCTTGCCGCCTACTACAACGGGGTGCTTGAGAAGCACTGTTATTATCTGTTTATATCTATGAGGAGAATGACATGTCGAGCAAACCACACGACTCGCACCACAGAATTGGCCTAAACATAGACAAAACATCATCTGAATGTTGCCCTTAAACTTATTTTGGAAAAAATGTTGCAATCTGATGCCACTTTTTTTCTTCATACATCATCTCAATGAAGGTCTGTCATTGCAAAAATGATGATAAGACATGAATATATGGGACAGAGAAACATTTCCAATTTTGTTGGAAAAATTTTCTAGTGTGGTGGAGCAGTTGTAAACATCTGAAATAAACCCGGCTAGGGGCCTGGTTGCCAATAATGGCCCTCGCCGTCTGGCCATTATCAGCAGCCCGGCCCCTACCCTGTTATAAACCAGACATTTAAAACTGCCCTGCCACACAATTATTCCCTTAACCCTAACTCCCTAGGCCTTTTTGCTAGGATGTAGCCTCAATCCTGCAAAATCCTCCAATTGGCCTCATGGAAAAATAGCATATAGCCTCAATCCTGCAAATTCCTCCGTTATTTCTTGAATTTGGTCCGTGGAGAGTTGACCACTGCCTGAATCCTGCAAAATCCTCCGGCTATGTCTGTCAATAGGCTGAGGCAGAGGCAGTGACATCCTGGAGCAGTGTGGAGGATGTCAAGTATAATCAAGGACTAAATTTATGCACGGCTGAGCATAAACAACACAAGGTCCGGCCCAAGACCTTGTCACAGTGCATACTCCGAAATCAGCAACGCACTTTTGCCATGTAACCTCAATCCTGCAAATTCCTCCAATTTGCAAAAAGGATTTTGGAGGATTCAGGGCGGTTAGGGTTAATACATTGTCAGAATTGTTTAAAGTAACAACCTTTCCCTTTGTTGATTCTTTTGCAGTTGCGACATATCTTCCCCATCTTCAGACTGGCCTTGCCACCCAAGAGGTGGTTTGGAAGCAACTTTGATCCCAACTTCCTGGAGGACCGGCAGCTGGGCCTGCAGGCTTTCATCGATAACATCATTGGTCACAAAGATATCGTACTTAGGTGAGTAGTAGTCATAGATGCTCTCATTGATAACATTATTGGTCACAAAGATTTCGTACTTAGGTGAGTAGTAGTCATAGATGCTCTCATTGATAACATCATTGGTCACAAAGATATCGTACTTAGGTGAGTAGTAGTCATAGATGCTTTCATCGATAGCATCATTGGTCACAAGATATTGTACTTAGTTGAGTAGTAGTCATAGATGCTTAGTCCACAAACTGTAGCCATTGTTGGGGGGCAAATTTAACACCACCTTCAAGGCCGGTTCAAACTTGATGTGAAAGCCAACGCAAGCGCAAATTTGTGATGTCACAGCAAATAGTCACACTGCAAATTCACAAAGTTGAACACATTTCAACTTTGGCGAATTTCGAGGCAGATGTTTCTGTGATGCATTTCCGTCCAAAAAAAAACAAAACAGAAATGGCCTTTATGTACAAATTTCTTTCATTTTAAGGGTGTTTTTGTACAGTGTAAAGCGCATTTTAATGAGCACACATAGTTAAGCCTATGTACATGTATAGACAATAAGAATAACCCTGCAATGGACCAAAAGTGCTCTTAAAAATAAAAATGTTAAATAAAATTTGCTAGGCTCAGATTTCAAATTACTTAGCTGTAAATGTTGCTCAATAGCCAATTTTAATAATCCATTCAGACTTATGTAAATGGGCCATCAATTAAGTTTGTATGCCATTATGCTGGTCAAATTATTGTAAAGTCATAGTAGTTTAAATAAACTTTGCTGTTTGAAATATATGTTTGAATATTTCTGATATTTCAACTCTAGTGGTCCAGTGAGGGAGTTTCTCTGTCTAGACGATCCGCCCGGCCCCTACGATAATCTAGAGGAAAGTAGGGTAAGTGCAAGTGAAACATGTCTGATTTTAACGATTCAAAAAAACAGAGAGGTGCCTTGAGAGGCACAAACCCTGCCTTGATGTGTTTTCATTTTGTAACTAGGCGTCAAGGTCTGTGGCAGTGTCTGTTTTATTCAGTTGGAGTTTTTATATAACAAGCTTCACAATGTATTTGTTTTTGTGTGTTATCAAAAATAACAACACTAGGCTATCATTAACTGCAGGTTATTATGCATTAGAAATCAATTATGAAGTGGCCTTCTTGAGACCTTATTGTAGACCCTTCTATAAATAAGTAACATTGAGAAGTAAATCGCATTTTTTGCCATGATACGTCCTTAGGCATTGTGTGAGTCGTTGGATGAGACTGTGTACAACCTCCGCCTGGAATTAGCCGAACGAGACCGTCAGATTGTTTCCCTGAGTGCCGAACTAGAAACTGCTCAAGAACACATCAGTCAACTGCAAAACAGGTACCGCAAAAATCAGTCTGGAAATAAACAAACAAAACCGAATTTTGCTTTGCAAAATTGTATATGAAATCACTCACTGCGACACTCATAGCATAAACAATTAGCAACTTTTGAAACTGCAGGCAGGGGAATCGCACAACACCAGCGCAGTGGTCAGATGAATGTGGGGTCCAGTCAATTTGGAAATTAATGGAAAATGTGCTGATTCAATTCTCCTTTTGATTTATTGGTTTATTTGTTGCTAGCATTGATTAAAATGCATCTTGAACCTTCAAATTAATTTATTTTTCTTGCAACGTTTTCGTTCATTTCTGTAGCAGTGGTGGTAAGAGTAAAACTGAGAACGTTCCGAACTCCTCCACCCCAGTCTCTGGTGAAAGCTCGACCATAGAGGGCGACCTTCATTCCCAAGCCGAGGCCGATCAGTCGATGTCATTTCCACAGTCAGAAATTCAGCATAGGTATGCCTACACAGGCAATCACAATTTGCCTGTTGCCTTTTTTTTAAACGAGGGGGGGGGGGGGGGTGTCAAACTGACACCTGTTTTATACTTTAGTACGACCGAAATAGATTTTGGTTTGAGACAGTTGAACACATTTTCCGTTAACTAGACCCCAACAGTTGCTCCTAATTGTTTCAGATATTGAACATTTCATGAACATAATTCAAATCTGCAGAATACTGTTGTTTGTTTGACTCTGAAATGAAGTCTAAAACAGGCTTGATCATCTTTTGTACCATTCTCATTATTTTATCGGGGGGGGGTGGTAATTTGATCTTTGTAATGAATTATGCTATTTCTCAAGATTGGGGCCTGCGGACCTCATATCTACTGACACGGCGTGGCTTTTTAGTGCCTGCTTACCTCCAGCTTCACTTTTGTCTCATTTCCTTTTAGAGTTGTGTTGAATCATCGACAAATTTTCGTGTGTTGGCCTTTTGCTCATATTAAACTTGATTTTCGTGGTTTTTATAGTCCAGAAACGTCGCTCAACAAGGGTTCAATTTCAGCCAACGACACAGAAAGCAAGGCTTCCCCGACACCAAGGAAGGGGACCGGTCACAAACAGGGTGGGACGAGACAGGACGACCAACAGACAAACAACATCATCAGTGTCACATAGTCGGCAACAAAGGGTCCTCCTGCACGAAGGGAATCGCCAGAGATTGACTGGAGGTAAGCAATGGTGCTGGGGTGGCTGGTAAACCATGGAAGCATCCCCACTAAAAACTGCAAGGTTGTTAAAAATCAGGGTTGGAAAACTTAAATATTCCTCCAAAATGCCCCTTTTTGGGGTGGGAAATAAGATCCGATAAACTTTTGGTTTTTTTAGTTCCAGCAGTGCTTAAAATATTCATGTAATGTTGTACATGAAAAGGGTGATTTTTTTTTTCATTTTGTGTGTTTGTTTTGTCTTTTGGTGCTGTTTTGTTTTGTGCAAGTGCAATTTGGTACGTGAGCAATCTATGTGATGTATCTGTGTTTTTCTAAAGTAAACACATTTCCAACATCGACCAGCAGTAAGATTTTGGTAATTACCATACAGGCCTCCTATGTATGTACGCCTCTCTGCATTTTCGGGATTAAATAAAACCGAAAGATTTATGATTTCTGTTGTCAAGTATTGTTAACATTTGAATATGTAAAACAGGGTCATATCAATCAGTTAAGGCCAAAAGGTCATCTGAGGTCAATGCCAGAGATATATTAGCGCTTTTCTTAAATTTGCGTTAAACCAAGCTTAAAAAAGTTTGGTCGTTTGAGAAAACTTGAAATTTGGATGTCATTTTGATATCAACATGCACTGCCAGTAATATCAGATAAAGATGATTTTTATTTAAATTAAAGCTCTTAACGTAAAAAAGTATCTGCTTTGCTTCCAATTCAGTGAAGCAGAAATTGAGCGAAGTAAACATTAAGTAAAGGATGCTTTCAACCAGTGCTGATCTCACAATCTTTTCCGCTTTAAAAAAAACCAAAATGTTTTATGTAACTTCAGTAGATCACAAAATTATTTTTGATATAGATTCATCTTTTCAGTCTTGAAAGTTCATCGACATAAGTCAAAAGTTCATTAAATATCTCGCATACCGCATGGCCCAAACTAATACAATTTTGGATTTGGGGTTTTCTAATCATTACGACCAAACTTTTCTAGCCAATTTAAGGAGAATCTGAGAGTAGCGATGATTGTCACAAATTACCCATCATGCACTCTTACCTACATGTATATATATTAAAAGGTTAACAATATCTGTGAATGCACAATAGCGTTTAATCAAAAAAGCACCTTCACAACAATGCAATGAAATATAACAATTTGTATAAAAGTATGTCTTAAAAGTGCCTGTAAAGTATCGAACAAGGATAAAAATGAATATCAACTTATATTTTGTGGTTCTTAAATTTTGCTATTACTTAAAAATGCAAACAGCTGTGTATATTTGAAAAATAACCTGTCTTGCCTTTTGATTTTTCAATTAATATATGTAATTTGAGTCACGTTTAACAAAGCAATGCTTACCTGTGAGTAGTACACTTTCTGGAACCACTATAGACGCCGTGCACAAACATAGAGGGCGCTCTTTGACCTCTTTTGAGAGCACCCATGGGAAGGACACACAATGTGTGCGCTCTTGTATGGCTTTACGTTCGAGGACAGACACACAAAAAGAGAACAAAAGATCCATTCAGTCCTCGAGCGTTGGGTTTTTTGTTTAAAATGGTCCTCGATCATACGGTTATGTGCTTAGTCTATGGGAGAGTGTTATATTACAGGGACAAAGGGGAACACAAAGCATTGTCCTCGAGCATATAGAAATTCACGACCGTGCGTACTGGTTCGTGTACTTGTGCCACACAGTATGTGCTTTTGTTGTGAAAAAAATGTGCACAACCCCATAGCGCTTTGGCATGAGCGTCAGGCGCCCTCTGCAATGCGTTTAAACATGAGGCCCTCCCAACTCTCCATTTATAAACATTGAGGGGGTACTTGTGCACGGAGCCTATAATGCCATTAACCAATTCGCGTCGGAGGACGTAATAACACTCACTGGCTGTATTGTGTGAAAACATCAAGATTGCCTCGACTCGCCTCCGCGTGATTCCTCGTGTCTTTTGTACACACGTACAAAGTCTGTGAAGGCGTGAAGTCTGTGGAGGCGGACCGTGTGTTGATCTTGAATTGGCCGTTGTGCACCGTTGTACAATTTACGCTCAAGTGCACACCACGGAGTATTGTAACATATGAGGTTTTGGCAAGAAATATCGTACAAACACAGTTGAAATGACTCTTGCGAATCAGCATCTGTGGCGTTTGGCTGTTTATCAGAAGTTGGCTAAAAAATTTCTCCTTTGGCGAAATTTTTGGCAAAAATAATCTCGGCGCGAAGTGGTCAAGGCAATCTGTTGTAGGGTATAATTTATGTGGTGTTATGTGTTTTTTGAGTACACTGTACATGTATTATAAACCAATTATCGAGCGATGGTTTATTGTGTAACATTGCAATAGATTTTAAATAATTAACAGTGAATATTTTTAGTGTTATAAATCCTGAGAATTTTCATGAGCCAAGAAAAGATCGAAGTTGGCGAGGGGGAAATACAGGGAAAATTTACATCACTTTTTCATGACTGCTTTCTTGTGGCTTCGGTTTGTTCTGCTGGAACACTTCAAGTTTCAGCCTTGGATTCCATCTCGGCAAACCAAGCAGATTTGGTGCTTATAAAAAAGGTATTTGTGCTTAATTTGTCTTATATCCTAAAAGGTTAAAATGCAAGGTTAACCCCTTACAATCAAAATTTCCAGGAAAAGTCAATTTTGCCCTATTTTGATAAAAATGTAAGCTTTACCCCTTAGGCCAAAAAAAAAAAAGTCTCCGGTTTCTGGTATGGAGCTTGCCCCAAAAGTGGTGCGGCGACGCGGCTTTTTTTTTTTTTTTTACCTGTTTTTTTTTTTTTTTGGCTTCAAATGTCGGCTGATGACTGCAAATGGTGCCCGACTAAACTAAGTGCAAATATATGGGAGTCCAGAGAGGCCACATAATTCTTATTCTCGATCATAACCCCTTCTAAAAACACGTTAAAATTGTGCAGCAGCAGAATTCCAGTCAAACCAGTGAGTTTGGCGGTTTTGAAACATCATCTTGTATTGAAAATAAAACTTTTTCATTTTGCCGACGCGCATGGCTACGGCGACGCGCGCGCATACCAGAAACCGGAGACTTTTTTTTTTTGGCCTTACAATTTAAATTTTCTAAGAAAATCCAATTTTGCCCAATTTAGATAAAAATGCAAGGTTAACCCCTTACAATTTAAATTTTCCAACAAAAGTCCAATTTTGCCCTATTTTGATGAAAATGCAAGGTTAACCCCTTACAATTTTAATTTTCCAAGAAAAGTCCAATTTTGCCCTATTTTGATGAAAATGCAAGGTTTACCCCTTACAATCCAAATTTTTCAGGAAAAGTCAAATTTTGCCCTATTTTGATGAAAATGCAAGGTTAACCCCTTACAATTAAAATTTCCAGGAAAATTCAATTTTGCCCTATTTTGATAAAAATGTAAGGTTTACCCCTAACAATTTAAATTTTCCAAGAAAAGTCAAATTTTGCCCTATTTTGATGAAAATGCAAGGTTAATCCCTTACAATTTAAATTTTCCAAGAAAAGTCAAATTTTGCCCTATTTTGATGAAAATGCAAGGTTTACCCCTTACAATCAAAATTTCCAAGAAAAGTCAAATTTTGCCCTATTTTGATGAAAATGCAAGGTTTACCCCTTACATTTTAAATTTTCCAAGAAAAGTCAAATGTTGCCCTATTTTGATGAAAATGCAAGGTTAATCCCTTACAATTTCAATTTTCCAAGAAAAGTCCAATTTTGCCCTATTTTGATGAAAATGCAAGGTTTACCCCTTACAATCCAAATTTTTCAAGAAAAGTCAAATTTTGCCCTATTTTGATGAAAATGCAAGGTTAACCCCTTACAATTTAAATTTTCCAACAAAAGTCCAATTTTGCCCAATCTTGATGAAAATGCAAGGTTAACCCCTTACAATTTAAATTTTCCAAGAAAAGTCAAATTTTGCCCTATTTTGATGAAAATGCAAGGTTTACCCCTTACAATCCAAATTTTTCAGGAAAAGTCAAATTTTGCCCTATTTTGATGAAAATGCAAGGTTTACCCCTTACAATCCAAATTTTTCAAGAAAAGTCAAATTTTGCCCTATTTTGATGAAAATGCAAGGTTAACCCCTTACAATTTAAATTTTCCAACAAAAGTCCAATTTTGCCCAATCTTGATGAAAATGCAAGGTTAACCCCTTACAATTTTAATTTTCCAAGAAAAGTCCAATTTTGCCCTATTTTGATGAAAATGCAAGGTTTACCCCTTACAATCCAAATTTTTCAGGAAAAGTCAAATTTTGCCCTATTTTCATGAAAATGCAAGGTTAACCCCTTACAATTAAAATTTCCAGGAAAATTCAATTTTGCCCTATTTTGATAAAAATGTAAGGTTTACCCCTTACAATTTAAATTTTCCAAGAAAATCCAATTTTGCCCAATTTAGATAAAAATGCAAGGTTAACCCTTACAATTTAAATTTTCCAACAAAAGTCCAATTTTGCCCTATTTTGATGAAAATGCAAGGTTAATCCCTTACAATTTAAATTTTCCAACAAAAGTCCAATTTTGCCCTATTTTGATGAAAATGCAAGGTTAATCCCTTACAATTTAAATTTTCCAAGAAAAGTCAAATTTTGCCCTATTTTGATGAAAATGCAAGGTTAACCCCTTACAATCTTAATTTTCCAAGAAAAGTCCAATTTTGCCCTATTTTGATGAAAATGCAAGGTTTACCCCTTACAATCCAAATTTTTCAGGAAAAGTCAAATTTTGCCCTATTTTGATGAAAATGCAAGGTTAACCCCTTACAATTAAAATTTCCAGGAAAATTCAATTTTGCCCTATTTTGATAAAAATGTAAGGTTTACCCCTAACAATTTAAATTTTCCAAGAAAAGTCAAATTTTGCCCTATTTTGATGAAAATGCAAGGTTAATCCCTTACAATTTAAATTTTCCAAGAAAAGTCAAATTTTGCCCTATTTTGATGAAAATGCAAGGTTTACCCCTTACAATCAAAATTTCCAAGAAAAGTCAAATTTTGCCCTATTTTGATGAAAATGCAAGGTTTACCCCTTACATTTTAAATTTTCCAAGAAAAGTCAAATGTTGCCCTATTTTGATGAAAATGCAAGGTTAATCCCTTACAATTTCAATTTTCCAAGAAAAGTCCAATTTTGCCCTATTTTGATGAAAATGCAAGGTTTACCCCTTACAATCCAAATTTTTCAAGAAAAGTCAAATTTTGCCCTATTTTGATGAAAATGCAAGGTTAACCCCTTACAATTTAAATTTTCCAACAAAAGTCCAATTTTGCCCAATCTTGATGAAAATGCAAGGTTAACCCCTTACAATTTAAATTTTCCAAGAAAAGTCAAATTTTGCCCTATTTTGATGAAAATGCAAGGTTTACCCCTTACAATCCAAATTTTTCAGGAAAAGTCAAATTTTGCCCTATTTTGATGAAAATGCAAGGTTTACCCCTTACAATCCAAATTTTTCAAGAAAAGTCAAATTTTGCCCTATTTTGATGAAAATGCAAGGTTAACCCCTTACAATTTAAATTTTCCAACAAAAGTCCAATTTTGCCCAATCTTGATGAAAATGCAAGGTTAACCCCTTACAATTTTAATTTTCCAAGAAAAGTCCAATTTTGCCCTATTTTGATGAAAATGCAAGGTTTACCCCTTACAATCCAAATTTTTCAGGAAAAGTCAAATTTTGCCCTATTTTGATGAAAATGCAAGGTTAACCCCTTACAATTAAAATTTCCAGGAAAATTCAATTTTGCCCTATTTTGATAAAAATGTAAGGTTTACCCCTTACAATTTAAATTTTCCAAGAAAATCCAATTTTGCCCAATTTAGATAAAAATGCAAGGTTAACCCTTACAATTTAAATTTTCCAACAAAAGTCCAATTTTGCCCTATTTTGATGAAAATGCAAGGTTAATCCCTTACAATTTAAATTTTCCAACAAAAGTCCAATTTTGCCCTATTTTGATGAAAATGCAAGGTTTACCCCTTACAATCCAAATTTTTCAAGAAAAGTCAAATTTTGCCCTATTTTGATGAAAATGCAAGGTTAACCCCTTACAATTTAAATTTTCCAACAAAAGTCCAATTTTGCCCAATCTTGATGAAAATGCAAGGTTAACCCCTTACAATTTAAATTTTCCAAGAAAAGTCAAATTTTGCCCTATTTTGATGAAAATGCAAGGTTTACCCCTTACAATCCAAATTTTTCAGGAAAAGTCAAATTTTGCCCTATTTTGATGAAAATGCAAGGTTTACCCCTTACAATCCAAATTTTTCAAGAAAAGTCAAATTTTGCCCTATTTTGATGAAAATGCAAGGTTAACCCCTTACAATTTAAATTTTCCAACAAAAGTCCAATTTTGCCCAATCTTGATGAAAATGCAAGGTTAACCCCTTACAATTTTAATTTTCCAAGAAAAGTCCAATTTTGCCCTATTTTGATGAAAATGCAAGGTTTACCCCTTACAATCCAAATTTTTCAGGAAAAGTCAAATTTTGCCCTATTTTCATGAAAATGCAAGGTTAACCCCTTACAATTAAAATTTCCAGGAAAATTCAATTTTGCCCTATTTTGATAAAAATGTAAGGTTTACCCCTTACAATTTAAATTTTCCAAGAAAATCCAATTTTGCCCAATTTAGATAAAAATGCAAGGTTAACCCTTACAATTTAAATTTTCCAACAAAAGTCCAATTTTGCCCTATTTTGATGAAAATGCAAGGTTAATCCCTTACAATTTAAATTTTCCAACAAAAGTCCAATTTTGCCCTATTTTGATGAAAATGCAAGGTTTACCCCTTACAATCCAAATTTTTCAAGAAAAGTCAAATTTTGCCCTATTTTGATGAAAATGCAAGGTTAACCCCTTACAATTTAAATTTTCCAACAAAAGTCCAATTTTGCCCAATCTTGATGAAAATGCAAGGTTAACCCCTTTCAATTTAAATTTTCCAAGAAAAGTCCAATTTTGCCCTATTTTGATAAAAATGCAAGGTTAACCCTTTACAATTTAAATTTTCCAACAAAAGTCCAATTTTGCCCAATTTTGATGAAAATGCAAGGTTAACCCCTTACAATTTAAATTTTCCAAGAAAAGTCAAATTTTGCCCTATTTTGATGAAAATGTAAGGTTAACCCCTTTCAATGAAAATTTCCAGAAAAAGTCAATTTTGCCCTATTTTGATGGAAATGTAAGGTTAACCCCTTACAATTTAAATTTTCCAACAAAAGTCAAATTTTGCCCAATTTTGATGAATATGCAAGGTTTACCCCTTACATTTTAAATTTTCCAAGAAAAGTCCAATTTTGCCCTATTTTGATGAAAATGCAAGGTTAATCCCTTACAATTTAAATTTTCCAACAAAAGTCAAATTTTGCCCTATTTTGATGAAAATGCAAGGTTAATCCCTTACAATTTAAATTTTCCAAGAAAAATCCAATTTTGCCCTATTTTGATGAAAATGCAAGGTTTACCCCTTACAATCCAAATTTTTCAAGAAAAGTCAAATTTTGCCCTATTTTGATGAAAATGCAAGGTTAACCCTTTACAATTTAAATTTTCCAACAAAAGTCCAATTTTGCCCA